GAAAATTTTTAAAATTAATAATTTTTGTCAAATAAAAAGATAAATTTATTTGATTTTAAAAATATGAGCTTAATACAATGATTTTAAAAAATAGATTCATATATTTAAGTGTGTAAGATATATAACAATTTCATTTTCTTTTAACTACTAAGTAAATAATTTATATTAAAAGGTTACATACAATTTGACTTTAATTACTTATCTTTTAAAACTTTAAATGCTCTCGTTGTTGCTATAAATAATGTTTTTAACGGAAAAGTAGTTTTTTTTAATAATGATTATTTAATAGAAATTTTCTGCACTATAAAATTTAAATTTTTATAAGTCCTTGACTTTAGACTACGCATACCCTTTTTGAATATTCATTCACTTCCCTCTGATCCACTGTGACCGCGCACTGACGGGTGATTATTCACCGAGGGACTTTTGCTGGCCCGGCGTATTTATCTGCCAGACCAGAGCCCTCTTACTATGTAGTTATCTATCAACATGCCAGCACTCTGACATGGGAAACTCGTCACTTGTTCCCCGGAGACGATGGATGTAAATGTTGTATTTCAACTGTTAGGTGGAGGCAGAGCAAAGATCCCTTATATGTATCAACCATTTCCGATACCCAATATTCAAATGCAATAGACGGACTGCACGTGATTCCAACGTGCTGAACCACTTGAACAATGCAATCCCCACCGGAATCGAGCAATCGGGGCAATCGAACAGCCAATCCGAACCGATATTGCCAATGATGACTGGCCCATGATGATAAGCGCCCTGTGACGTGTGAAGATTTGAGCTATTTATGGCTCCATTCGCAGCCACTGCAGATATCCAATATGTATATTTAGCCCTACTACGTTTTTCCCTGTTTTTCATTCAGAACCGGTTAGAGCCGGAATCTATATTGCATTTCCAGTCAATTGCCCTGATGTATGTATATCACTATATCACTCCATTTAGAAGGATTCGCAATTACTACGAAATAAAAGAAGAACTATGCAAAGTGCAATCAGCTCAGGCCGAAGCAAAAGAAGAACTTTTCGCCAATTAATTTGCCAGCACTGCAAAGCAGAAAAAAATGCGTATCATTGTGGGGCGGAAGAGTGGGTGGTGTATAGACTATATAGGGGTTTTCCAGCTGCAGCTACTCGTTTTGCCGTAATTAAACGTGTGAAGCGACGCAGGATGACCACGCACAAAAACCGCAACGAAGACAAATGGCCCGGGGAAAATGCGGAAATATAAAATGGGAAAAAAGAATATGGAGAGCCAAGCTTAAAGTTCAAGCAGCCGCAGGAAGACTTAGTTGCGCCCCATTCGAGATACATTTGAATCTGAGCCAACAGATGGAGAACGTGTTTACTGCAAGTTCACAGCTATCGGCGGCAACAGCTCAACTTTTTAGCGGACGGGGTTATACGTGAAGGTCCTTGGTCCGTGGTCCTTTTATCCTTATCACCACCGTCATTTTTCAACGCCCCTCCCCAGATAGCGTCTTGTAATAGAAACGCACTTTATCTGCTGCCAACCAGCTCAAATAGCAATCACACTGAGGGAAATCAAACAAATAATGGGGAAAACGTTATTAAATTTCTTAAATCAATACCTTTAATACCACACTAACTTTTAGAAGATGTGGAATTAATATGTTTTAGCCAGGAAACAAAAGTATCTAAATCGAATAGTCAACTTAATGCGAAACTTTACTGATATTTAATAATTTTGTATAATTTTTCCAGTTTTTAACTTACAAACTTACTTACATTAACTGTAATTTATTATTTATGGTTATAGAACTACCTTTACAAATTGTAGCTCCTTATATATTTTGAAAATTTTAATGACAGTTTTTAGGTTTATCAAAATATTTTAGAAATTTTAAAAAAAAATCCCAAGATTAATCTCACATTAAATGTAGTTATTCATGGAATTTTCTCCCACTGCACAAAATGATAAAGGGAAAAGCACAAGTGTGCACTGCGGATGCAGCGAGCTGGAAACACTTTTCTGGCTGTTATTCCGCTGGCAAGGCCAAGAACCAAGAAAGTGGCCAATTCGATGGCGACATGGTAATAAACTTAATGCCAACTGATTTTGACAGCCACTGCACACTAACATTTTTGGGATGGAGGAGCAGCTGGGATTAGGCAGAGCCCTGGGCCTTTGGGGGAAGGGGAAATGGAAGCCCATACCATTTTCAGCCCTTTTATGAGCCTGACAAATGCGCGAAAAGTTTGAACACTTGTTCTAGGGGCGAAAGTTAGCGAACCTCGGGGCGTATGAGTAATGTCATGCGATCTGCCAAGGAGCGGGACTGCCTTGAACTGGAGCACTGCTTCCTCTGGCCGCTCGAATCCGCTATATAGCAGATTCCAATTCCGATTCCCAGTCACGTACGCCCACCAACCAGGCATGCCATATCAAACCATAAACTTGTCCTAGAGACCGATTCAAATTATGAACGCGTTAGAGCTTCGCTCGCAGCTCGTGATTGAGCTATGGCTTGTCATTCACAGAGTGTCATAATGAATTCAACAAATGAAACAAATCATAGGTGTACTGGAAAAAAACTAGAAATTAAAAATGTACTTATTTGGTGCTTAATTTGGTTAGACTTTAAACGATATCCTAAAAATTTAAATATCTCACATTTTTATCTTCACATTTTATTTTTATGATCTTACAAAAAATAATTCGTACTAAAATTGGTCGCTTAATTAATATTATCTAATGGAATGTTATTTAAATCATAAATTTAATTTTCTTAATGATAATATTACTTTTATAAAACAGGAAGCCAAAAATTACAAATTTGTGCCAAAAAGTTCTGCTAAAATTACCGTTTGAATAGCAATACCCCCAAAAATTCTATGTTATTATCAGAGACTAGCCCCCGAATTTTTCCCTGTGCACCGATTAAGCTGCGAGGTGTCAGGTGCACTGACCCGAAGCTCTTCTTTGGGGGCGACTCTTTGGCATTGGCCTCACGCAGCCCATGGCCACGATCGCTAATTGCGTTTGCCAAATTAATTAAATCGGGCAATCGCAGTGCCATTTGTTGATTGAGTTTTTAACTGAAACGGGAATGGAATGAAAATGGGAATGGGAATGTTGGAGGTGGAAATGCAAATGTCGCTGCCTGTTGCTGCCCCTTTGCGATTGAATTAATTAGGCAAAAGGCAATTAAGCGAATCGACCTGCTCCGAATGTCGACCGGCGGACTCAGCACGCGAACGGGGTCCATGGGGAGCTATGCCAACCCCTAACGCCTGACCCCTGACCTCAGACCCAAAGGCAGCATAAATTCCATAGCCAATAAGTTGGGCAATAAGTGGGTGTCTCCCATAAGGGCTGGCTAAATAACGGCGTTAATTCGACAAGCCCTTTCCTCTCTCTTCCTTTTTCCCGGCTTCTCTAAGTGCTCTGCGTTGATGAAGTACAATAACCACCATCCTCCATCCTCTCCAGCTTTCACTTTCCACTTTTCTACTTTTCCACTTTTCACTTGATGAATCGCGAACGGGAGGAAGGTGGGCCAATTAAATGGAAAACGTTTTCATGTCCCGCGAATTGTTGTCGTGGCTTTTGATGGATGCACTCTCGCCGCCAAAACACTCGATTGAGCAGTCAGCCCTCTTCTTTCAGTTTGCCCCTAACCCATGGTATAGATCCCATCCATTCCATCCAGTCCTCGACTTTTTCCTGCTCCTGAGTGACGGCTTCGGGTTGGTAACCACGCGTATTAAGCCAACCGTTCACACGCTTTTTGATATCGCGCCGCCACTTCCTGCAGGACAAATCCCGGAACCTCTTTCAGCCTCACTCTTTCCAATCGAAAGTTGCGGTAAACATGGGAAATCCTCACCGGGATATAGAAAGTGCACGGAGATAAAACTCTTCAGAAATGGGGATACTCCTTCGATAATATTCCCAAAACTAGTATGATTTTTTATCATTTCCTATCTTAATCATATAAAAAACTTAAAAAATATTAGTAATATTCTAAAATCAACATACAATTTCTTCTGCTTGTTTTCAAATTTTCCATAAATTTTACAATAATAATAATATTGAGAAATGCCTGCAATTAATTTCGAATTCATGACAAATTATAAAAAGAATTATTAAAACAAAATGTATAAATGAATGAACAAATTCACAGTCTCTTGTAATAAACACAGGGAATTTTTTTTGCCAGTGTAGGATGCTCTCTTATTTATGGGACGTCTGTTTCTGTGTTGTTCTCGCTGTCCCCTTGCCGTTTTTTATACACTTTTATTATGTTCTGTAGCACCCGGTTCGATTGTCTGGCAATTGATTTTGTTCCTGGTCGGGACTTGTTTGCTTTTCGAGCTTTGTATTTGCTGCACACGAATCAGATAGCTGTGTGTACTCGCTGTAGATACCCCGTTCTCCCGCTTCCCATTTCTCATTTCCCATAAACCAAAACCACCATCATCATAAAATCCCTGGTAGTTTCAGCATTTTTCAGCGTAATCCTTGAGTCCTGAAATTGATGGCCTTGCTCCGTATTATAGACTCTCGAGTACCATCTGATTATCTAGGGTGTATCATAGTTGGGGGTTTCTTTTGTTGTTCGGTACATACATGGCTTACCGACACGTTATCAATATCGACATGTATTTTTTGGCAAATATTTATCAATTTATTACACTAAAAAATTGCTACAATTAAGTTGTGTGCTGCGTGTGTGTAACAAACGTGCCGAACGATGATTAAGTTTTCCTTTCGTTTTTTCGCTTTTTTTCCAGCTAAATAGAGAACGTCGACAGCAGAAAAACAAATACATCAAGGGAAAGGCAGAAAAGAGAAAGTGGGAAAACGGGGCTGCGGCGGGCATGGCGTATACGCAATGCGCAGCATGTGCTATTACTATCGCTGCTACTGCCACGGCCACCTCGAGTCAATTAAGGAATTCACACGCCAGCGGGCACTGTAATTGAAACACCCCCCCCCCCCACACACACACCTGTTCCACCCTGTTACGCCCTCCATTAGCTACTGATACTAGCCTTAAATACTCGATCGGAAAAAGGGAAAGCTCACCGAAAATGTCCGCCTTCCGCTACTTCTCCATCACGGATTTCTCCTTCGAGGGACCACTGCTTCCCTTGCACGCAGCCACCACCAGCAAGGATGTCAAGGACTCGGATAGTCCCAGCTCCGAACTCAACATACCCTACACCGTCTTCGAGGTCCTGGTGGCCATTGTCAGCATCATCGGCAATGTCCTGGTGATCATCGTCTTCCGCAGAGAACGAAAGCTGCGCCGTCGCACCAACTACTACATAGTTTCACTGGCCATGGCCGATCTGCTGGTGGGCAGTCTGGGGATACCCTTTGCCATCCTGGCCTCCATCGGGCTGCCGAGGAATCTGCACGCCTGCCTCTTCACCGTCTCGCTGCTCGTGGTGCTCTGCACCATCTCCATCTTCTGCCTGGTGGCCGTCTCCGTGGATCGCTACTGGGCCATCCTCTACCCGATGGCCTACTCACGGAATGTCCGCACCCGCACGGCGATATGTGAGTATTTTATTGGGGAAAGGGGTGGTCAATTAAATATATAAAAAGTTCTTAAGCTTCTATGGCTCTAAAATTTATACAAAAGGAGGGGACCCCTAAAGAAAAAAGATAATAGGTATTTTATTTGGGAAAGGAGATAATCTAAAAAAAGGTTTATAAAATATATAACAATTTCTTAGGATTCAATGGTCCTAATATTTATACACAAGGAGGGAACCTTTAAAGAACAAAGATAAATAAATATACAAATTCTACAAACTAATAAAAAGTACTTCAACTTCAGTATCCCAAATATTTAAATTTAAGGGCTAGTACTCAACCCAACAAAAAGTCGTCCAAAACAAAAACTTCATATGAAACAAAATTTTTTGACGTTGTTTTTCATATGAAGTTTTTTGTTTTGGACGACTTTTTGTTGGGTTGAGTACTAAGCCTAAAGGAGAAAACAATTTAAAGATACAATCTTTTATTTTCTATACGAATGCCTTTTGCCAAGTTCTTTAAAATGTTTTCTGGGTTCACCTCTTTCTGAGGATATTGTCAAACAATTCTCGCTTTGTAATGGCCATTGTTTGGTATTGCGCCTTTGTGGCTGTGATGCTAATGACTCTGGATGGCTAATATACACCACATTGTTCTCCGTTCCATTCCTGCCATCGACCATGTTTGAGTTGTGGCTTGGCTAAGACAAAGGACGTCCTCATCCGGACTGCAATTGAACGGATTTCTTAAAAAAAGTACATAACTTTTATACTTAACTAATAATCCTGAAATGAGATACACAAAGAATCGATGGACGCAACTTTAGATTAAATAATAGCACTTTACTACATATCGATTAGGAATTGAAATCCAAGAGCTTGCTTTTTTTCCGATTTATAATGGCAGTCCGGAAACAGAAATTATCGCCTCAAGCTAAAAATATCCAATATCTATAGAATGGTCCCAAGAACTATAGGAAATAAGAAAAGTATACCCTATAAAGCACAGCAACCGCCAAAGATAATGCACTATTTCGATGGCTTTTGTGCAACAGAAGCAATGAAGAAATTTAGTTTAAATGGGTTTAATGGCATTTCTCTTATTCAACTGCTGTTCCAGAAGATGAGTGATTAAGAGCACATATTATTTACGTCATTTGGTCAGAAGTGTGACTTCTCGTTCGTTTAGTTCGCCGCAGTTCGATTAAAGTTAATATAAAGCTAACAGTTTGCTCCAGGGAATTGCTGCAATCTCCTCATATGACGTCTGGGGACGTCTGCTCTTCTCTTCAAGGGCTTCGGTTCATGGCCCTCTGATAAGTAAACCCCTGTCCATCTTCCCCTTTGCAGTCATCATCTCGATGTGCTGGGTGGCGGGCACGATAGTGGGCTTCCTGCCTCTCTTCGGCTGGCACGCCGATGTCAACCACAACCAGGAGTGCCTCTTCGTCGAGGTGATGGACTACAACTACCTCGTCTTCCTCTACTTTGCCACAATTATCACTCCGGCCCTCCTCATGCTGGCCTTCTACACGCACATCTACAGGGTCATCATCAAACAGGTGGGTATCTTGAAATAATGATTGGATTTAAAATCCAATATGTTAAATATTACTACAAACGTACGTTATTACCCTGTTCAAAATATTCTCTTTGAATTTTGTAAATTTCACATTATTTTGGAGTAAATTATATTTTTTACAAGTTTAAAAATAAATAATATACATTAACATTGTTTGAAGCTCATTCAAATTCGTTAAAAGATTAAATTGCTCACACAATATTTTTGAAATGGAATAAATGTACCTACAGAAATGTAAGAAAATGGTTTCCAAAGTGTAGAAAAATTGTACATTACCTAAAAATGTACGGCTAAATTATTTGTTGCTTAAATTTCGTTAAAAGATCATCTAATCTCATTCAATAAACTCATATTATAAAAGTAAAAACATTTGTACAATTTTATGAGTGGGTAATATGGATTCGTTATAATTTATTAACTAATTCTTTTCCGAATTAATGCCTAAATTTCTCTTATGCCATAATACTTAATCCGTAGGTCCGTCAGATCGTAACGATGAACCCCGCCTCCGATCTCAGTCGCCGCTCCTCGGCGGCAGTGGTGCAGGTGACGACGCCCGGAAGAGCCGGCCACACGGGCACCATGCTGCGGGTGCTGGGAGCTGCGAGGAAGCGCGATGTGAAGGCCACCCAGAACCTGTCCATCATAGTGCTGTTCTTCATGATCTGCTGGATTCCCCTGTACACGATCAACTGCATCAAGGCCTTCTGCCCCGACTGCTATGTGCATCCCAAGCTGACGCTCTTCTGCATCATCCTCTCCCATCTGAATTCGGCTGTGAACCCGGTGCTGTATGCCTATCACCTGAAGGACTTCCGGGCCGCCCTGAAGAACCTTCTACTGAAAATGATGGGCGTGGACATTGACCAGCAGGCGGAGGCCATCCATCGGTTCTCGGTGGCCAGCCAGCATCGCCTGCAGTCGATGGACTCCAATATGCGCTCCACGCAGCCGCGCCTCTATGTGGGTGAGTGTGAGTGCGCGTTGTCTTCAGGGATTCAGCTGCAAAGCCCCTATAATTTTGGTTACTCTTCCCTGCTGTAGATTCACCCATCTGGCTGAGGCAGCAGCAGGAGGCGCTGAAGAACTCGCAGCTTCTGCCCAAATGCGGAGTGGTTTCGCCCTGTTTCAACAACATCAATCAAACGGTGGCCGCCGTCGCCTCGGTGACCACGGAGATTGAGCGGGAAATGTGGAACATTGTGGAGGCCTCCAGTGGCGCCGAGTTGGGTGAGACGAGCTACGAGTTTCCCTCACCCGCGAATCCCGCTTCCCAGCGAAGTAGCAGCTCCACTGCTCCCCCTCCTGCAGCAGCCAAAATCTCCATTCCGTCCGCCTCGTATGACAACCACAACTACAGCTTCAGCCAGGATGAAGATGAGAATGACGATGATCTGGAGTTTGAGGACGTCTTTGTGCCAGCCAATCCCCCCCAGCCCGGCATAGATCCCGTGGAGCTGCGTCGCTCCCTGGCCTTGGTGATGCGTGAGAAGCTGCGTTCCGATGACACGGACTCCAGGACGCCAGTGGCTGACCTTCAGGAGGAGCCCTTGGGTGCGGAGTCCAGGGAGAGACCTCTTTCGATACAAACCTCACCCACAAACGGACCACTTCCTGCCCTGCTGAGGTCGAAGCTCTTTGCGGGCAACTCGAATTCCGCCCACTGCCTGCCGGGATCCAAGGATTCGAATTCAGAATCGGGAACTGGTGTCTTTGTGATCGACAGTGAGGCGAGTCCGGGCTCCAATGGCCACAAGCCCAAGTATCGCAAGGGCACTGCCTTGACCAGGAGTTCGCTGAAGAAGAGCAGATCCTGCAATTGTAGTGCCATTGCCAAGGGAGCTTCCAAGGCTCACGAGGATCAGAGTCAGGAGCATCAGCATCCCCCGGAGAACTTTTTCAGTCCCCTGCGATCGGTGGGCAGCTTCATGCAGCATTCCAACCTCTTCCACTTCCTCCAGCCCCATCCAGTCCGTCCCACCTCATCGACGGCCTCGTCCTCGGCCTCCACGCCCACCCACTCGCCACCGCCCCCACCGCCGCCGCCCATGGAAGTGCAGGTCCAGGAGGGATCGATTCCGTTGACTGGGGCTTCCAGTCTAACCACTTCATCGCCATCTCTTCTAGCGGCCAGTGCAGAAAGTTGACCTTCCCGGGGGGAAAAGGAGGAAGATCATCATGATCATGATCAGAATCAGGATCAAAAAGATATAGAAGGGGTTAAGGGAAACCCCTGAGGAAATACTCGCAAGTCAAAGCTTTTACCTTAAGTACTTCTCTTTCTCTCTCCGAAAACGTTGTCAAATTCTATATCGGATCTAGATCAATTAGTGGGGTAGTGACATCTATAGAGCCTAGGAGCTACGCGCATTTATTTCGAGTGTATGGTCAAATACGTTTCTATGGACTAGTTAATTGTGTACATATGTTTAATGTTGTTAGAGTATTTTAAATGTGTATATGTATGTCTGCTTATGTATACCTGAACGTCTGTGAAAACCAAGTTAAGCCATGCAACATGAATTTCAAAGTTGAAGTTAAATAAAGCGATTAAACAAGAATGTAAATTAAAGGGATTGTTTGATTTTTAGAGGATGGAATTAATTTCTTCTTTTAAATGGTACTAAAATTAATCTTGAAATAAATACTAATATTTTCTTAAATAATATTACTGATGATTAAAAATTACTTTATTTAAAAAAGAACATTATTTTTTTTAACTGATAAAAAAATTTAAGAACTTTATGTTTTATGTACTAAACTTTAAGATAGGGTATAAAAGTCATACGTTTTTTAGGATTTTTCTTATAGCAAATGGTGGCTAGCCTGCTATCAAAAAAGCTTTTGCACAGCTTTCTAGAAGCGACGACAAAACAGCCATAAAACTCCCCCGCCAAAAGGTTCGAGTCCCAGCTAACTTAAAAACCGAAATAAATTTGAAAATTTTAGCAAGCCGCTTATATAACGTTAGAACTACTATTTTACTGCCTTCGACGAGAATATAAAATTGTGGCAGTGCTTCGGAGACATTCTAACCCAACTAGAAATGCATTTGGAAGTGCTCATCAAGGTGTATAGTAACCGAATCCAGCGCATTCCAACGGCACCGCTTCTCCAGCACTGCCAATATCACCAGAACCGCCATCATATCATTCCCATCCCCACCACCATGGATCAGAACCAACCCACTGTGGGTGGCGTTACGGCGGAGGTACTAAAAGCAGTCGTTTCGCAAGCTCTTCTGGGCAAATTCACAGCTGTTTTCCCAAAGCTTTTCAAGTGCCAGTGGAAGACTTACGAAGGTCAAAAGAAGGTTAGTACATCAGCAGCAGACGAACTACGAGGTGGGTGTGTTTTAGAGCAATCTCCTCCGAATTAAAGGAGGAAAATCAAAGGAAAAGTGGGTGACGAGCCTCCATTCACTTGAAATTATCAGTTCCAAACATTCGACTTATAGAGACCCCTATTTCGTATCGCCTATCCCCAGTTCTACGCCAATTTCAGTACCGATTGCAGCGACAGCAACAACAGCAACATGAGTGCCCGTAAATTCTGCGTTGGAGGCAACTGGAAGATGAACGGTGACCAGAAGTCGATCGCCGAGATTGCCAAGACCCTGAGCTCCGCCTCGCTGGATCCCAACACGGAGGTGGTCATCGGCTGCCCGGCCATCTACCTCATGTACGCCCGCAATCTGCTGCCCTGCGAAGTGGGACTGGCCGGCCAGAATGCCTACAAGGTGGCCAAGGGCGCCTTCACCGGCGAAATCTCACCGGCTATGCTGAAGGACATCGGTGCCGATTGGGTCATTCTGGGCCACTCGGAGCGTCGTGCCATCTTCAATGAGTCCGATGCTTTGATTGCCGAGAAGGCCGAGCATGCCCTGGCCGAGGGTCTCAAGGTCATCGCCTGCATTGGTGAGACGCTCGAGGAGCGGGAGGCCGGCAAGACCAACGAGGTGGTGGCCCGCCAGATGTGCGCCTACGCGCAGAAGATCAAGGACTGGAAGAACGTGGTGGTGGCCTACGAGCCCGTCTGGGCCATTGGCACCGGCAAGACCGCCACGCCCGATCAGGTAGGGTATCTCTTATCCCCTTGAGGAACTGATATTAATGGGTAATTATTTTTTGTAGGCCCAGGAGGTCCACGCCTTCCTGCGCCAGTGGCTGAGCGATAACATCTCCAAGGAGGTCTCCGCCGCCCTGCGCATCCAGTATGGTGGCTCCGTCACCGCCGCCAATGCCAAGGAGCTGGCCAAGAAGCCCGACATCGATGGCTTCCTCGTGGGAGGCGCCTCCCTGAAGCCCGAGTTCGTGGACATCATCAATGCCAGGCAGTAAACAATGCCCATCCCGCGATCTCCAACTGCCCGCGGTTAAGGATCTCTGGAGGATTTCCGTTTCCGAACCGCTATTGCATTACGCACACACAGAAGTCGTTGTAATTGTCACCACCAAGTGCAGTTCCAAATTCATAGTTACCTCCCCGTTGTTGAACGTATAGTAGTCCATTGTGTAAATCTTAAATTATTCTGGCAATAATTATACGCTACTCATTTACTCATATACCACAAAGAGACGAATGGTTTATTTTTAGAGCAAGTGGGGAAAGGTATGCATATAATATATGGCATATACATATGTCTGAGCTACCTCTGTGGACCTTAAACCGGCGGGAATATTACTTAATTTTTGATAAGAACACGTAATATCAAAAGTGTTATTGAAAGCAAACAGAAGATATATTAACCCACTGAGGTATCAATGTTTTTTGGGTTTAAAGAATAATTTGTTATATTTTTGCAAACATTTGTTTATATAAAAAAAAGCTTTTAAAGATTAGCAATGTTTCACCAGATAACCCAACTTGAGATTAACAAAAAAAAGAAAGCAGTTTATACTTTTGGTTAAAGTTCATTGCTTATCTGGATGTTTCTATATTCTTGGTACACAAGTTTTGGCAATTATGAGTTTCTGTCTATCTAAGAACATTTGTTTATATAGGAATATATTTATTTTTAAAACGAAATATTATTCAGCTATATTGTTTGACCCCAGTGACCTTTGCCAAAATTTTCCAACTGACAAACACGTAGCTTGTAATTTTCAGTCACTGTATCTTAAATATCCCTTTCAGTAAGCACCGCTTTTATTCAGACTGGAGTTTTATATTTTTAAAAATTAAACCAAGTTTTAGCCAAATCTTTAGACAGTGTATAAAAGTAGCAACTCGATTTTAGCAATATGTCGCAATCGTACGTTTTCGATGTGATTCTGGTGAACTCCAGTTTACCAGTTCCCCGCAAGTCGGCAAGTTTTAGTGTAGGCTCAAGGCCCATCTATTCGGTGCGGTTGTTCGAGGACTTTGAGGAGTTGTCCATGGAGCGCATGATGGTGGACCAGTTTCCGGCGGATGCTCTAGGTGGCTTTACGGCCAGTCCGTGTGAGCTGATTGGCTCACTGACCTCCAGGGGCGTGGGCGTAACCCTGAAGGATAACGATGAGCTCGTAGGATCGGGCAGTGCCATGCTGGACTCGCCCATCCTGCGCCAGCTGACGGATCCCACCTTTTCGGTAACCGAGAAGCTGCTGGTGGAGCTGACCAAGGGCAAGAGCAGGGTGGGCGAGGTGGAGCTGCTCTTGAAGATTAGCGCTGCTGCAGATATTAAGTAGGTTATATAAAAAAAAAAAAGTAATTAAATAATTAGGTAGGAATCCCTTTTAGTCACGGCCTAATTCCCTTTGGCTGCTATGATGTTTGCAAGCCTGTGGATAATTCGATAAACAAGCGGGACATCATCTTCACCCTGGGAAGGTCTGGCAAGTGTCCCACCAATAGTTGCATCACCGATGAGCGTCTGATGTCGCATGCCGGGGCACCCTTCCAGTGTCCCCATGCGGCAGGTGGGGATCAGGAGGAGGGAAAGGACCACAGGGGAGGTGCCACCATGGGTTGTGGCTGCTTCCTGAGGGGAATGCAGCAGCAGCATCTTAACCAGGATGAGAAAACGGAGAAAAAGCGGGAAAGGACTGCTCTGAAAAAGCTTATCGACGAACTGGGTTTGGATCAAGTCAAAGTCCCGAAGCCACCAAAGTCACATGACAAGTCCCGTCGCTGGCATTGCAAGTGCAGGTCAAACCAGGTCGCCACGGACACCTCCTCCTCCTCCACCTCCTCCTCCACTTCCTCCTGCGATGTCAATGAGTTCGAGGGGGAAAGGCCTCCTAGGAAGAGAAAGGCCCTATCCTTGACTGCCTCCCGGGAGCAGGCAGCTCGTCGAAGATTGATGGGCCTGTGCCCCCTAAAAGAGCCCGATCTCAAGCAGCAGTCCTACAAGCCGCCTAATCTCTGCCAGCTCTGCCGCTCGGACATCAGCTGGCTGCCCAAGATCTCCGCCTGTCCCTACTGTGGCTACAAAACCTTCGAGGATTTGCAGCCCAGCGAGGAGCCCTACGATCTTACGGCCACAGCTCAGCAACTCCTGAGGGATTCCCTGCGCCGCGAGCCCTGCGAACTGGGCTCCTCCAAATCCTCGCCGGATGATGAGGCCATGGGCGATAGGCTGAGGAGGTCCCAAGATGATCCCAATGTGGCCAAGGAATGCGGCTGCCTGGGTGGGAAGCCCTGCACTCGATGTCGCATTCGCAAACTCTGCGAAAACTTCTTCAAGGAAACCGAATGCCAGATAAAGCCCGTTACCCTGCCGCAGGCTCAACCGGAAGCGACTACCAAATCCTTGCCGGAAATCAGGAACCCTGTCGAAAAGACCAACTCGGACACCTCGCAGCGGCGCACTCAACTGATCTCCATCTTCACGGAGATGCGGAATATGTATGGCCAGAAGAAGGGCGCCGTCGAGGCGGATGCGGTGGCCCAGGAGCTCAGGAGGGAGTGCGACGCCGCCTGCCGGAAGAGCAAGTCGGCCAAGGCCCGACGGAAGGCCAGGAGATCGCTGAAGAAGGCCCTGGACGAGATCGACCGCGCCTATCCCAAGCCACCGAAAATCAGGGTCAAGAGGAAGCCCATCGACCGCAAGAAATCCCGATGGTAAGACTAAAAGATTTTAAGGAAATTTAAAACTTTTTAGTTAAAGAGTGAATTTAGTATATTTACATTATATTTATATATTTATTTATATATTTATTATTTTAAAAAGACTATTTCTTATGATCATCTCACTAATTTTACTTTTCTAGAAGAACATTTCTTAAGGTCCAGATAAAAATTCTCTGGAAATGATTTTTTGAAGAATTTTTTAAGAAGTTAATTAAAAAATCGAATCGCTTAATTGGCCAATTTATAAATATCTAAATATTTAATATTTATATATATAAAATACAAAAAAAATAAAAAAACTTTAAATCATTTTTGAATTGACTATGAATTCTGTTCTACACTGATAAACACAACGCCTTGTTTTTCATCCACTTAAAATATTATTATTTTTACTATTATAAATTTAAAAGTTTTTAAAATCCTGTTCGTCGTGTTCTTAAAATAACTGTGACCCAATTAATTTTAAAAAATAACTTAATTTAATTTATTTGTACCACTCCATTGTATTTCAGTGTAATTTTTATCATCAGTAAATTATAAAACCCGCTTATCCTACAGCTACACCTTCCTGAAGTCGCGGAAGGAGCCCAAGGACTCGCGCATCGGCCACGTGGACTGCATCTCGGACAGCAGGCACACGGGCTACTGCAAGATTCCCTGCCACATGGGCTGGATGTGGACCAAGAGCGAGATGGCTCGCCACAAGTCCTGGCGACCCGGCGCCATTTCGCGGCCCATCCGCCAGCTGATGGCCTACTTCCTGAAGGACTTTCCGGCCGACAATGTCTGCCTGTCGCGCTACCACCACCGTCGCAGGAAATGCCCCAGGAATCGGGACGACGACGACGACGAGGAGGAGGAGCCACTGGTGCAGCATCCCACGCTGCACATAGTTCGCCAGGGGGATGAGTACATCATCACACTGCGTCCGCTGAAGGATCCCCGCTCGCTGGCCTCCAGCGCCAATCCCTATGCCCCGATGAAGCCCGTGGTCTTCCGCATCACCAAGGATCCCCTGGCCGCGGGACTGCGTCAGATGAGGGTGGCCCTGCAGGACAAGGGATTCGCCCCCTGCACCTGCCATCGCCCGGTGGCCAGCTGCTTCTGCCGCAGTCACAACGACAAGAAGCGGATGCAGTACGAGGTGGCCAACGAGTGTCGTCAACGTGGCTGGCCGGACAACTCGGACACCTTCGTCTACTCCCCAAATAGCGACGATGACGATGACAGCGATCGGGAGTACGAGTTCGGGGTCACGCCCCCGGCGGGCGTTATCAAGCCCGATCGCAGGCGGCAGCCGGACAGGGCGCATGTGGAGACCCAGTATGTGGAGCACGACTGGGCCGCACCCACCATGTACCCGCATCCGGCCAACATGGCCGTCCAGTACGGCGGATGTGTGATGGGCGAGCGCAAGAAGAAGTTCCCCTGGCTGTACGGCAAGGGCAATATCCACGCCGATCCGCCGAAGCCCCGCATGCGGAATCCCCCGAAGAAGAAGCCGCGCAAACAGCTTCCGTTCCGAAACGCCGGCGGCTTCGATGACCCCCGCCGCTTCGACCCCACCCTCAACCGACCTTGGCACAGGTCCAACTCCCCATATTAACTCAAGTCTGAAAATAATAATTATGATTTTAGCTCTGCAAATAAAGGCAGTAGTTTAATTAAAGGTTTCAAATAAATGTATAAATGTAATCGCTCTTCTTAACAGGAGTTAGCCGGTTTGTATTTTAATCACTGGACAGGCCCTGCAATATTCTTATCAGTATATATAGGCATTTCCATATTGTCGCTCGGGACACCTTTCAAGTTGAAAAAAATTGGAAAAAAATATATTTTCATTTTAATATTGGGCTTTTCTTTTTACTCTTTCCAAGCTCTAATTTGGGTAAAAATCTTGATTTTGTACCACTTTTATTTTTATACCCTTGTTTAAGATATCATTAAAAAACTGCCGTATTTAGAATGTTGTTCAAACATGTCGCTGTGAAATGGTTTTGGTTTTACTCAAAAATTGGTTGCCGTTTTTTTTTATTTAGTTTCAAACACATTCTTTACCTCTATCCCTCATTTGCTGGATGTTTTGCTTTTAACTTAATAGTTTAACATGTAAATGAAGCATTCAGTATAGAAATGTCACATATTAGCATTCCTATAGGCTAAATCAACAACAGAAAACAGAATAACAAAAAAATAGCCAAAATTAACTTTTGCAAATTTTTAGTTTAGCTCAGGATCCCACTAATTAGGAACTGATATGGCGGCAAAATCATGTGGAAATATGTTTTATTCAAGTTTAAAAGTTTTTGGCTTGGTGGACTTTTTGGTGGAATTGCCCATATGCTTAATCTTCAAAAATAGGTTTCGAGACCACTAATCTTCTTAGTGGCGATTTTAAAAAACATATACATACATTATTACATACATTATTATCAATTTGTTGTTTAAAAGCTCATGGAGCAAACGAAGCTGTTCCAATAATATTTGTTGTTTTAAAGACTTAAGTCAGAGAGAATGCTTGCCTGTATTCCCTTATCGGCAAATTTTGATTATATACTTCTTCCCAAACGAGACTACTTATTTTTGTACTCTCGGTCTATGAGCCCATCTGTGGTTGGATTTCAATTCAGTTCTCAGTCGCTAAACCTACAGTTCGCAAAACAAGCATAATGAAGTCGGGCTTCATCGTGATTATTCTAGTAATTTCCGTCCTGGAGCAAATATATCTGACTGACGGCGCCAACGGAAAGACGGTACCGCGATCTTCTCATCTGAATTTGAACCTGGGAGATACATGCAACGGCTACTGCTTTTCGATCATCACGCCAATCTTCGATAAAGTTTGTCAAGTGAATCCAGCAAATACTACTAATACAATAGATGAACTCAACAGAAAGTTAATTTCAACGGAAGCCACTGTTACACAACTTCAGAGTAAGCTGGCCGTTGCTGAAGGGCGGATAAAATCCAATAATGATATTAACAGGTTACAAAGTCAGATGGCATTTTTTAATTGCCAAAGTCAAATCAATGGAAAAGATAAGGAAATTGCAGGCTTTGTCAATAACTTAAATATTAGGCTAACCATTGCGGAAGAACGACTGAAAACCAAAGATGAACTATTAAATTCAAAAGTAAATCAAATTAAGGATACAACTGAAAAACTTAAAACCAAAGACGATCTTCTAAAATTAAAAGATAAGAAAATTCTCGACCAGAGCGATTCAATATTCTCCATGACAGAAACTATTAGTGACTTAAAATGTAAGTTGATGAAGGCAGAAGAACAATTACGAATTAAGGATGAACTTATAAATTCAAAAGTAATAGAACTTACTAATGCAACTGAAAACCTTAAAAACAAAGAGGATCTTATAAAATCAAAGGATACCGAAATCTTGGAAAAAGACAATAAAGTGAAAAATTTGACAACAACTATTGGTAAGTTGCAGAGTGAATTACGAAATGCGGAGAACAAAATTAAAACCAAAGATGAGTTAGTGGATGGCAAAAATAAAGAAATCATTGATAAATCAAAAGAGCTGGAGCGACAAGACAAAGAAATTAGAGATAAAGGTGAAGAAATTATGAAAATAAAGGAGGGAATGGAAATAAAAGATAACCAACTTAAGGACCTAAGAGCGCAGATTTTCGCCAAAGATAATCAAATCGATGGCCTTAACAATCACACTAGATCTGATTTGGAAAAAATAACTAAAATGACCGATGAACTTTTATTGTGTCGAGGAACGGAAAGTTGTCCCAAGGGCCGGCCAAATGGAATTTATAAAATAAATAAGCCCGGAATAGCTATGTTTGAAGCACCCTGCAATTCAACTGGCTGGATGTCAATTCAAAGGCGTCAAGACGGCTCAGTAGACTTTAATCGAAACTGGGAGAATTATAAGACTGGATTTGGAAACATAAGAGGAGAGTTTTTCATAGGATTGGAGAAGCTGTACCAGATGACTAAGGATAAACCCCTCGAACTGAGCATTAAATTTGTAAATGATAAGGGAGAAACTGGCTACGCTCATTATGATAATTTTCAAATTGAAAGCGAATTGGAATTATACAAGCTAAAAACACTGGGAACATTTCGTGGGTCATCCAACATTACAGACCTAATAAGAACAGAAGAAGGAATGATGTTCTCCACATTTGATCGGGACAATGACAATTACAAATTTAATTATGATTATAATTTCAGTTATTATGATAATTATGCTTATAATAATAGTTTTAATTGCGCTAGTATTGTCTCTGGCGGTTGGTGGTACCGTGATTGTGGATATAGGTAGGCATATGTAATTATAAACTAATTTCAGTTGTATCACTAACAGACTTTTGATTGCAGCCTTAATACGGAATACTCTTACAATTTTAATTGGGAATTATTCGGTAACCTTACCTCTTCTGAAATGATGATTAAGCCGAAGTACGTGTGAACTTTACTTGCAAACAGCCAAGAATAAAAATGATCAATAGATTCAAATTTATTTACCAAATTTTTTGTTTTATACAATAGTATAAAAAAACAAGAGAGAACGCTATAGTCGGGTTCGTGTCCCGACTATCTAATACCCGTCACTCGGCTAAAGGGAGTGCGAGGGAGATGGATGTATAACATTTTTTTGACTGTGTATAACTTTTAAGAATGGTCCGATTTGAAAAATGTCTTCTAATTAATTTTAAAATCGTTAATGGGCGATTGTGGGCGTTAGAGGGGGGGGTGGCGCTCGGCTGAAATAAACTTGCGCTGCGTAGGAAGCCAAAGAATATGTGTGGGAAATCTCAACCTTCTAGCTTTTGTAGTTTCCGAGATCTCAGCGTTCATACAGACGGACAGACAGACAGACGGACAGACAGACGGACATGGCTAGATCGACTCGGCTAGTGACCCTGATCAAGAATATATATACTTTATAGGGTCGGAAACGCTTCCTTCTAGCTGTTACATACTTTTGCACGAATACAATAAACCCTTTTACTCTACGAGTAACGGGTATAACTACTTATTATTTTAGCTTTTTCAGATGGTTTAAACTATTACCTTTTAAAAACGTATAACCAATATTATCATTTTATTTCTTGATTTATTTGTCTAACTGATTAGATATTACCCAGGATGCCGTGAATTTGGCTTCATCTAAACTTCCTGTGGAGATTTGTCAGCCAAACTCATTCTCTATTGAAAGTTCAGGTCGATCGGTTCGGTTCGGGTCCAAGTCCCCTATAAATTGTTAGCTTTTAAGTGAATTCTCGAGCGCTTTCTCAAATTATTTGTGCAAGAAAATTGATCGAACAGGATGGAGAAGTTCCAGTGCAGGCCGGAGCCCGTGGAGCGTAAGGAGAAGCCGGTGGAGGAGCTGATGGACTGGGATAACTACTACAAGCACCGCGGGATGATCAGCACCCGACTGGCGAGCTGCAAGACGGAGTACATGCACTGCTCCACCTACCAGGAGAAGGAGAAGGAGAAAGGCAGGGGTCAGGAGAAGGACAAAAAGGACAGGAAGGACAAGGACAAGAAGGGCTGCTGCTGCTCCTCCTGTCCGGTGCGCAACCGGGAGGGCGTCTACGAGCCGCGGTGCCCGGCTCCTGGGCAGAAGGGCAAGCCCAACAGGGACTACATGCGCTGCTTTGCCGCCAAGCTGATTGTCCAGAGGCTCGACATGCCGGGCAGGGACTTTGAGTGCCGGGACCAGCTGCAGGTCAGGGCCAATGTGTGCCGCGGCTGCAAGATCTGCCTGGATGCCACTAGCATCGGGGTCAACTGTCTGCCCCTCGATCCCCAAAAGACCTTCCAAATGGAACCCGAGTGCCTGCAGAGGCAGCTGGCCGAGGGCATCACCATTTCCGTGGTCTATCTGCGCAAGGAGATTGGTGGGGAATTTAGGGATTTTTTAATACCTCTTTCCTAACCCCTCTAATCCCCTCCAGCTCGCGGCTGCTACTTTCCGCCCGCCGCCGTGGTCAACCGCATGATCAACGAGTTCGAGGAGATCGTCCACGATGCCCAGGTGGAGCTGACCTGCAAGGGATGCACCGTTGGCCTGTTGAACCTCCGCTTCGCCATGCAGATGCGCTGCCAGACCCTCAAAGAGTAAGTAGCGCCGCCAAGGACCCGATCCTTGATAGCACCTGAACTTCAATAGAGAGGACGCTCCGTTTGACGAAGGACGACGACGTTTGGCGGGCGGCCAGGAGAGGGGAAGGAGCTGCATGGACATGAATGTGGATCCCCGGGACGCCTCCTTCATATCCTCCTCCTCGCTGGATCCCTGTGCGGGTTTTATGCCCAGCGATGTGCCAGAAGATTCACCCGCCTGCAGCGAGGATAGGGATCAGGCTTTCCAAGGATGTCAGGTGGGAAAAATAAATAAAAACAAGAAAGGAAGCTAGCAGATCATTCCTATTAGCTTACAAAAACATTTAATTTAGATTTATTTGCGTATAATGTTCTAACAATCATAATTTTAGCTGCTTTCGTATTATTTTGACAAATATATAATTTTTTTGTCTATTAATTTCCATTTAATTTTCCGACCGTTCCTATGACAGCTATATGACATCGTGATCGGATTTTAAAAATATTTAATTCGAAATTCAGATATATTAAAATAAAAAATAATATTCCCAAGAGTAGAAGGTAATATTTCGAAAAACACCGAAGCTAGAATTTTTTTAACGTTTTTTTCCGATCCTTCCTATGGGAGCTATAATATATAGTTGTACGATCCGGTCGGTTCCGACCTAAATACTATCTTAAATAGAAAGAAGACTTTTGGTTTCAGCCCGATAGCTTTAAAACTGAGAGACTAGTTTGCGTAGAAACGGACAGACGGACGGACAGAAAAACATGGCTAGATCGACTCGTCTAGTGATGCTGATTAAGTATATATTTAATTCTTCTATACTTTATGGGGTCGGAAACGTCTGCAAGGGTATAAAACCAAACCACATCCAATTGATTAATTTTACCCGCAGGATCCACCGCCCCCCCGTTTGGTGGACATGGCGGGACCCTATCCCGTCTACTCCTGTCCCCAAGTGGACGACTGCTGTGTGTCCTTCGAGCCTCCGGCAGGTCCTGCCACCCAGTTTTCCGCCTGCCAACGCAACATCGTGGGCGAGGGCAATGCCAATCGGCTGGTCCCCAAGTATTCGTCGCCCAAACTGCGGCAGATGCACATCAGCAACACGCGAGCCTGCGTCCTTTGCGGCGAGGATGTCTCCTGGCTGCCCAAGGTGGCCGCCTGTCCCGGCTGCGGCTACAAGCCCATTCCCGAGTTCAAGGAGCGACCCTACGACGAGGCAGCCACCGCCCAATCGATTCTGCTGGATCATCTGGAGAATCCCGTCGAGGAGCTGAGCTTTGACCTGGGCTCCGTGGAGGGTTGTTCGGGGAATGCGGATCAGGGTGATTTTAACCACACTTCGGAGGCCTTTGAGGCAATTGTGCGGGATTACCAGCTGCTGAGGCGCAGCATTCGCGAATCCAATACCAAGGAAGCTGCCCAGAAAAATCCCCATAATCAGGAGGCGGAAGACAAGCCGCAGGATTTGGTCAAGGTGTTCGCCGAGCTGAGGGATCTCTTCAAGGTAAAGTCGCCGCCGGATGAGGAGCAGAAGATCCAGGATATCTGCACGGAGGCCTGTAGTCTGGCCAAGGTTCACAAAAAGGGCAGGAAAAAGGCGGGAAAATCAGAGGCCGCCGAGGATGCCTGCGGTAAGCCACCAAAGTCGAAAAAGCGACGCTTAAAGGGCAAACGACCCTTCAAGTCCCGCTTCTACTCCATGTATCGCGCACCAGAGCGACCCAAGCCAAAGAAGGATGCCCCCCAAGGCGACCAGAAGGTGCCCAGCCACATGGGCTGGCTGTGGACCTCCCATCCGCTGGCCAAGAAGCCCGGCTGGCGACCCGGCGCCATTCGTCGCTCCATTCGCGGCCTGATGCGCTACTTCCTCAAGGACTTTCCCGTCGACTCGGTGCCCGTTTCCAAATATATGTCGTATTACAGGCACAAGAAGCCAGCCAAGGATGAATCCCCTCAGGAGGATCTGCTGCAGGTGCCCACCCTGCACATAGAGAAAAAGAACGATGTGTATACCATCACCCTGCGTCCGCTGAAAGATGCGCAGACCCTCGGGCGATCCGCCAATCCGTATGTGAAAATGAAACCCGTACAGTTTCGGATCGTCAAGAATCCGCTGCTGAAGGAACTGCGCGATCTGAAGCGCTGCCTCAAAAACATGGGCTTCAGCAAGTGCTCCTGCCACAAGCCGCTGATGAGCTGCTATTGCCGCAGTTTTGTGGACAAGAAGCGGCTGGTGTATCATGTGCGGAAGGAGTGCGAGCGTCGAAAGATCGCTTCCTGCGAGGATGAGTTGGTTCTCACGGATACCTCGGATAGCGAGGCGGAATTCGATTTTGGGGTTACCCCGCCGGCGGGTCTAATGCATCCGGAGCGGATGAAGAGCTCCCATGTGAAGCACAGCGAGACGCAGTACGATGAAAGTGACTGGGTGATGCCCAGTCTATATCCCCACATGCCCGATTGGAAGGTTCAGTACGAGAGCTGTGCGATGGGCGAGCGGCAGAAGCCGTTCAACTGGATCTACGGCAAGGGCGTAATCCAGGCGGAGCCCAAGCCGCCCAAGATGCGGAACATCCCGAAGAAGCCGAAGAAAAAGAAGCCAATTCCGGGGCGAGTGACGGGTGGTTTTGAAGCTGGCGAACAGGACTACCAGGACTCGAGTGTCTACAATCGGCTGAACAACCAGGCTACTCGGAATCATCCTCGGGTCATAGCCAATTTTGCTCCTCCGGATTATAGCACCGATTCGGAGCTCCCGCTGAGTGGCAACCACATGAGGCTGCTGGATCGGGCCGCCTATCCACCCACTGCCCCCCAGCGGAAGGAACCCTGGTCCAGGGAGATGGCCAAGGAGAGGCAGAGGCTGAAGGTCAAGCGGAGGACCAAGAAGCTGGTGCGCTTCGATCCCACCATCGGTCCTCATTCCTCCGACAGTTGTATATAGTTATATCCATCTGTAGCACGTGGAACACCTATCCCCCATCCACATACGATTTTAGCCCACCAAAGTTCCGATTTTAATCAACCGCGTTAAATTGTAAGTTTTAATAAACACCTAAATTAAAATTTGAATGCTTTTATTACTTAAATTTAAACATGGCTGTTTTGTATAACAAATATATCATTTTCTTTTTCTAGTAGGTTCTTAAAAGTGTGCATTGAAGTAATATTAGGTGACTATCAAACTATCAAATTACAAATTATACCCACCTCAAAAACCTTTCCAGCTAATATCTGCAGTTTGACACCACCAATCAAATATTTTCTGCAATTATTTTATATTTCGGTTTGTTTATCTAACCTTAACCCACCTTAAATGACCCATAATAATTACTGTGATTACTTAAAATCTTTTGTTTCTTTAACCCTATATCAAATAAAAACACCTCTTAACGAGGTAAAAAACTAGTGACGACCGCACCTTCAACATACAAAAGTTCTGATATCAACATTTGTGACGAAAAATTATTACACTCGTCATTAAATAGACTTTCTAATATTTTCTCATTCGGACCGCCCTAGCAAACTATTCCAGCCTTTTTCCCTTTACAGGCATTTTCTATTGCAGCGTGACGAATGAGAAAAGATTAGAAAGTCTATTTAATGACGAGTGTAATAATTTTTCGTCACAAATGTTGATATCAGAACTTTTGTATGTTGAAGGTGCGGTCGTCACTAGTTTTTTACCTCGTTAAGAGGTGTTTTTATTTGATATCAGAAGTTTTTGTTTGTTTACATTTGCTCTCATAGGAGCTAATATATACATTTAAATTTAAATTGGTCAATCATAATTTTTAAACTATTGTATTTTAACAAATTAAGTTAAAAAGGCGTTGAAGTATTTCAAAATACCTTTTAAACGAGGTATAGCACATGTCTGTACCTTTAGTAGTGTAGGGTTCTACACTACTAAAGGTACGAAAGTCACGAAATTTAGCTATTTTTAGCTTTTTCCCGCTAAAGTAGCGGCTTTTTCCAAAAGTCGTAGAACAAAAGATTCCTATATGGAACTCTTAAGTGAAAATTTACTGATTCCATGACCCTAAAATACAGTTCGGATACCCTCCCACAAACATCAATACTCAGGGAGCGTTAGTTGTTCTGAGCTGGCAAAAGTGGCTATTTTCGTTTCTGAATAACTTTTAAACGCGATTTTTTACATAAACATGATACATACCAAAATTTAAGGAATCTCAAGGGCTATACAGTTTAAAGTTGTAAGGAAAATCGTTAGAGCCGTTTTTGAGAAAATTAAAAAAAAGCTAAAAAAAAAGTTTAAACAAATTTTCTTTTGTCCATATCTCTTTAACTATTACATTTACATAAATTGCATATAGAAGGCGTTTATAGCATTTAAAAATAGCTTTCAAACGAGATAAAGCACAAGTCTGTAGCTTTAGTAGTATATATAAGTTACGGCTTTCCGAATTTTAGCTATTTATAGCTGTTTTCCCGCTAAACTAGCTAGTTTTTCCAAAAGTGGTAGAACAAAATTTTGTTATATCGATGTGATGAACGTCATATCAAATTTTCAGAACTTAAAAAACATATTTTGGACAAGTGGACAAACTGACAAACAGAATTAAATTTTCATTTTGGGAAGAAGAAGAAAATCTTATTTTGGCTATAACTTTTGAACGGAGAGTCGGATTTTGACAAATGACCCCTCATTCGACGGGTATTTTCAAAAGGAATACAACTAAAACATTGCGAGGGGGCTGTTATCCCCACCGGCCCCAACAGCTCCAAATTTCGAAATTTTCACTTTTCTACTTTCACCGCTCTCTCTCCCAAGCCAATTGATTTTCTTAAAGTCTTGGTATGCAATCCTGTTAGTTTTCGCAATACCTTTCGATAGGTGTATTATTCATTATGATCGGACCATCACAGTAGATTTTCATTTCTTCGTGTATATATAGTAGTCGCCTTCGCACACTCTCCTGGTGCGCTTCGTCACTACATGAACTGCCGTCCATAGTGATTTAAATGATGAATAATATTCACTTTGAGGTCATTACACCAACGCTAGTTTGTTTATCTAACCTTAACTCTTTGACACATTTACCAGTCTAAATTCGCCAAAGTACTGCGGAACCAAGGAAGTCTTGAATAATTCCCATGGTGCTCTTGCTTAATCCCGATTTGTTTACCTAACCTTTGTCGCACTACGGGTGACATAACTGCTTATAAGCCCATAGGCGAGTTCACTTCGCGGAATATGCAAATTTCACGGTCCATAGTCGACAACAAATGTCTTTCTAATAAGGCGAGTTTACCCGAGATTCCCAATGCACTGAGAAAAATATCAGGGTTGTAAAAGGAAAAATAATCGATTAATAGCAAATTAATGCAGACCTTCACAAAGGTGATTTCGGGAAAATCCGCATGAGGTTTTTGGATAAAACCATCAAGTTTTTCTGAGTCTATTTGTCATAACTTGACTAAATGGAGTGTTTCAGCAAAGGAATGACTGTTTTTATCAGCTAACAACCTAATCTAACGATCAACATCACTTTCGTTTAGATTATAAAATTTAATCTATTGTTTTTTTTTCTTTTTTTTATAATGACAGTCAATATTTTGACCATTTCTTCGGACAAAATAGTGCATTTTTTGGGAGTGTTCTTTACTGATAGAAATTTTAAAATTTCAATACATCCCCAAATGTAATGATTATAAGAAGTATAACAAAAACAAAGTTATTTTTCTGCGTGTTAGTTTCGTCGCGGACTGTTGCACCCGTTTTATCAGCAGCACCATCGGCGTTGATTCCACTTTGTTGAATCACTTCTTCCAGGTTTGCGTACTTTCTTTCCTTATCCTTTTTGCGAATCAGTTATCGTTATTCAATCAATCGTTGGCCATCTGCCAGCGCAAATTCCCCAAAGCATATTCGCAATTCACGAAGCATTAAAGTCGCGCCTCCGTCTTACGCTTAAGTTTTCCGACTAAATGAATATCACATATCTTGATTGCCGGCGCACGGGGCATGTAATTCTCCGCAGACTTTCGGGGGCTTTTGTTTTCGGCGACTTGGAATCGCGATCAGACGAATTCCGACCGCTCGGGCGACAGCATGTGGTTGGTGCGCATCTTGCATTTGCTGGGTGTAATGGCCCTGTTTCCACTTTTGGGCTACTTTGGAGAAAGTGTTGGTGGCAGCGATCTGAGCTACGCGGATTTTTATGGCAATGCCAGTGCGAGAATGCTGAGATTTCGGGACTTTGAGCCGCGTCAGCAGAGTGCAAGAATGGAGCTGACTTTGGAGGGCGATGGGAGTGCTGAATTGGAACGCCAGGGACGCGGCTTCCATTTCCATGCCAGCGGCGAGGATGTCAGTGTGGAACTGGAGTTCATTGTGCCCTTCCTCAAGGTGCCAGTGAAGAGGAGCATGAATCTGGCGCGGGATGCCATCCAGAATATCCTCAATTTGCGAACCGGCGCTATTATAAACACGGCAGTTGTGGTGGCTGCAGGAGCTGTGATTGCAGCCGTCGTGCGATTACTTATAGCACCCCTAGTAATCACCTCTGTGGGTAATGGCTATGGCTATAAATCCGATCCCGACAGAGGCAGTAAGTATTGATTAAAAATATGTTCTTAGCTAGATTTAATTTTATATTTTTATTGAATAGTGCGCCGGCTAACTGATGTGGTGGAATCCCAACTGGAGGAGCATAATATCGATATGTCCATCTGTGTGCAGCGCATGATCTGCCAGTACTTGCAGCAAAACTTATCTTCCGGATATGCGAGGGTTCTAAATGTGTTGACCAGGTAAAAAAAAGATACATCTTTAAAGTCTAGAATTAAATAATATTATATATATATAAATATAAAATATTAAATCTATTTTAAATTTAATATTTTTGCAGCTCTCCCTGGCTTTATTCATTTGTAGATGGAACTGCAGTTTTCCATGCCATCCAATCTGCTAAAAGTAGTAGGAGTTGTACTCACACATATCGCAGTTGCAGATGGCCAAATCACTTAAACTGGAAATCTGGTGGCTTACCCCAAGTCCTCAAGTTCTTCAATGGATAATAACTACTTAAAAATTAAAAAACAAAACATTGTTATAGTTATTTATTTATTGGTTCCTTACTTTAGAAAAAAGAATATAAAGAGATTAAAACTGAAAAAATTAAATATTTTGTATGTTATTTAATATTGTACTTATAATAGTTTTAAACTTTTAATAAAAAGATTTATTAAAAATATCACTCATGATATTCCCCCACAACAAATGTCTTCTTATGTAATGGAAATGCCGGGAAATTGGATTAATTTCTGCCACTTCTCCCCCAATTAAAGAAGGTAGTTATAGCTATCTTCCGCTTTCATCTGGCCCGACATTTCCTCCAGCTAATTGTTTTCGCACCTCCATACCTGTTATGTCACACTCCCCACTTTGTTGCATTTTGTCTTCATCATATGAGTGGGAACTGGAGTCACAGTCGAAAATTATAGCAACCAAAAGGCACTCAAGCGGTATTCACACTGAAAACAAGTTTAAAACTTTTATAAAAATAAGAATGAGTTTAGAATAATTATCCGTTAAATGTGAAATTTTGTATAGTATTAAATAAATATTTAATAAAGCAAGTAACAAAATATTTTTTTAAAATATTTAATATTTATATGCCTTCGGATGATTAAAACGGCATTAAAATTTTGCAAATGTGTTTTAAAGTCAAACTTTTAATATATTTTTTCTAAGTGCACAGCTTACCCATCGAAGCAAAGCGGCGGTGGTGGATGAAAAGTCTGCTGCTGACACCGCCTGGGAAATTGATTCAAATGTTCATCAACTTCGCAACCGGTCGGATCTGTCAGCGGGAAAATGAAGTTATTGTACCTGACATTCGCTCTCCTGGCCAGCTGTGCCGTTATTTGGGCTGCCAGTGGTGAAGAGGAGCAGGAGGAGCCAGGATCCGGGAAACTATCCAAACAGGAGGGACCACATCCTGGCCAAGGATTCAAAATCATATCATTCGATGCAGTGGGCAAGAACATAGCCTTGGGGCTGGATTATCTAGTGCCCTTTTTGGAGGTTCCTGTAAAGCGAAAAAGGAATGCGCCACCTAAGGTAAGGCTCTCTTTGAAAACAAGATTACCAAACAGTGGATATTGAAAAAATATAACTAAATTTATAAATTTAAATTTAAAATAAAAATTGTTTTTTTAGCTAAGCATAAAAAAAAATTATTTTTTAAATAGGTAAAAGAAAATTTTTAATGAGTTCGCGGTTTATAAAATTTTATTTTGTACAATTTTATACTTCTTCATTCTTTAGCCTTTGGTTATAGTTAATTCAGCGGCAGTTGTTAGCTGTGGACTTGTGATGGCCGGCGGACTTCTTGTGGGCCACCTCATCAGGAGTTTGGGATTGGAGGCCATAACTGGAGATGATCACCGTCCCATATTTGGGAATTCTTCCACACACAAACCAAAGTCTTCGGAGGAGGATATATCATCTTCCACACCAGCACCGAGCAATTCAAATGCCACAGCGAGGGGACTTTTCGATGATAACTTGAGCTTTCCTGGAATCTTTGACAATTTTAAGCTGATATACCGCAATGAAACTGGAGATCGAATAGGTCAGCTCAAATATTTATACTACATCTTTTGAATGGAAAGGTTTTATTTTAATTTTAACCTTTAATTTAATTAATTAAATTTATAACCATTGAAATATATTTTTTACCTTTAGCTACCAGTCTGCCAAATATGTTGGGTGTCATTGAGCGAACATTTCTGAAGAACGACGTGGATTTATCTGTCTGTCTGCTAAAATCCATTTGCACTTTGACGCACAGTGCAGGCGAAAAGGTAACCAAAGGTCAGGCCTCGGATTTGGATCACCTATTGGATGGAGCCACCAAATGGTCCTGGCTGCTCGCCTGGTTGGAGCAATCCGCTTTTCGTGATGCCATCGAAGCGGGAAAGGTGAATTTTACCCATCATTGCGCCATCAAGTACCCGGAATGCAAATGGATGGCTCCTGAAGAGAAAATCCTGGAGTTGTTGCGCAATAATGTGCAGTTTAAGTAGCCTGTTTATACCCGTTACTCGTAGAGTAAAAGGGTATACTAGATTCGTGCAAAAGTATGTAACAGCTAGAAGGAAGCGTTTCCGACCCCATAAAGTATATATATTCTTAATCAGGGTCACTAGCCGAGTCGATCTAGCCATGTCCGTCTGTCCGTCTGTCTGTCTGTCCGTCTGTCCGTCTGTCCGTCTGTCCGTCTGTATGAACGCTGAGATCTCAGAAACTACAAAAGCTAGAAGGTTGAGATTTCCCACACATATTCTTTGGCTTCCTACGCAGCGCAAGTTTATTTTAGCCGAGCGCCACGCCCCCTCTAACGCCCACAATCGCCCACTAACGATTTTAAAATGGGTCCTGCGCCCACATCTTTAAAGATTTCCGAGAAGTATAAATGCAATTTTGTTGTGTATATTTATACCTATCGAAATGTAGAAGACATTTTTCAAATCGGACCATTCATTAAAAAGTTATACGCAATCAAAAATTATATACCTATCTCCCTCGCACTCCCTTTAGCTGAGTTACGATTATTAGTCGGGACACCAACCCGACACAGCGTTCACACTCCCTTTAGCTGAGTGACGGGTATTAGATAGTCGGGACAACAACCCGACTATAGCGTTCTCTCTTGTTTTTATTTGTTAAATATGCTTAATTTTATTTATTTGTATTTTATATATATTTTTTTTAAGATTTGTTTGAGTTCTGATTGACTTTGTTTTTTATACAACTTTGTCTACGTTTTATATACATGAAACTTACACTTTACATTCGACGTCTTATGTGGGTTGTGTCTTGGATAAATGAGATTGCGAGCAATATACCTGTAAACAATTCTATTTTAATTCATTCTAAAATCAAAAGCCAACAATTTTAAAACAAAAATAATGTAGATTTATAATTCATAATTCTAATTGAGTTGCACTTCTTTAAAATAATAATTTCCCCTACTTACATTTGACAAATCCCAGATTGGTCAATCCATCCAGTACCTAGAAAAGGAATCGATCTTTTCGCTCATCCATAAACATCGATTTAATCTAATCCAAATTTTCTTTTAAAAATCTATATTTTGTCCAAAACAAAGCTACAAATTTTCCATAACGCAAAATAAAAGTCTGATTTTGCAAATGAATAAACTTTCCCCTACCCTTTTTTTCTGAAACAAAATCCAACTCCCCAAGCAAAAAACAACGCACAGATTTTCTGCATGCAACTTTCATCGAAATGAATTCTATATTTATTTTGCCAATTATTTAATATTAAAACAAGTTGTAAAACACTGAACATTGATTGAATTTGGATTTAAGCAAGCAAACAGTTTGTTTTGTATGATGCGCCTTAAACAGAGAATTAAAACTAATTTACATAAAGAATTGGTACTCAAAGGGAAACGAAAATCGAGAAGTTATTTAAAATGATTGACACAAAGTTAATTTGTAGAAATGCACAAAAGTATAGTCTGAAGTTAAGATCAACTGAATCGGGTACAATATTTACTTAGTTCAAATTAATTATATTAAAAATATTATAATTGCTACAAAGGTTTATTGTAGCATTTTGAAAACATTGAAATTAAAGTCTTAAACTAAATTTAACATTAATGTATACATTTTTTTGTGATTTTTTTTTGTTTTTTTTTTTAATATTTATTTGTAAAACATGTTCAAAAACTTTTTTTTTCCGTCACAGCTTTTTTGCTTGAAAGTTATAAAACCAGAATACAACCATCACCAAAAAACTTGCTTTTTGAGCCTTCTAGCAACAAAAACTATGAACATTTTTCCAAGATATTTTCTTTTTCGTAATTTATATTGTAGTTTATCGTTATTACTTTCGACTGGTACTCCTTCTCCTTTAACTATTTGCTCCTCATCCTTTTTGTGTGTTGTGTAAACGCGGTTTGCATATAGAAAAACATTAAGACTAAATTACATACGTGTATATATTCTTCTGTTCTAGGCAGTTAACATGGCTACAAAACTATTCAAGTGTGATTAACCCTTCCTGTTTGTAAATGTGTGTCGGTTAGCATGGGGTCATCAGGGGTCAAGTGTCTGGGTGGGGAAACTGGAATCGGTTGGTGGGGATACATAGGTCTTGTCAGGTTGGTTGTGCGGACTTCAACATTCACGCAAGGCTCAAAATCAATCTTTTGGTTAGCTTCCGCTTTGATGCTCAGTTTAATTTCAATGTTTTCTTCTACTCCTCCCTCAAAAAAAATGCCCTCCCATCAAATGCAGTGCATGCAAGGATGGTATGGATCCTAGGAAATCTCTGGCCATCCCAGAACCTGCTCCAACTGGTTCTCGCTGAACTCGAAGCCACCCTCGCCCATGATGTAGTCATCGTTGCACAGGTCCATCATCGCAGGCGTGTGCAGGAGCGGATTGCTGCTGTCCAGGAAGGAGATGGAGGTCTTCCTGCTGGGGGCGTTGCTGCTGGTTCCACATCCTAGTTCCTCGAGTTCCTCCTCCGCCGACTGCTGGATCACCACATCAAGTGGCGCTGGCGCAGTTTCAACCTGCTGCTCACTGGAGGTGGTGATTAGGGTAACCCTTTTACGTGGTGACCCCGATGCACCATCCACCAGGCTGTTCTCATCAATGCCACTGTCGCTGGAGGCATCCGTATCGCAGGCTGTCAAGCCCGGTGGCACTGAATCATCCAGGGAAACCACTGACCCAGTCTCGCAATCACCTCCTCCAGCATCGGAGCCTCCAAAGACCGGAGACAACTGGAAGTTGGTGCCACTGATCAGCGGATTGTGGTGATAATCCCTCAACACCGCCGACGTGGAGGTGTGACAATGCAGGGGCAAGCCATATTTGCCCAGGGGGTTCGTCTGCTGCTCCAAAGAGTTGTCATCATCGATCATCATGGGTTCGGATGAGCTAGCCTGTTTTTTTGGGGCAGAAAAAAGGAAAAGAAACAGGAAAAATCAAAATTAGCAAAGGGTTTTTAAAATATAAAATATAAGAAAGAAACTTGTTTTTAAACAATAAAAAATCTAAAATTTCTAAAACAAGTTTCTTTCTGTGTAAAAAGCACACCACAACTCTCAATTTCCCAAGGGCTATAAATAATTACAAATTTGTCTCAGTAAATGGATCGATTTTCATAATGGCCCAACTTAATCCTAACTTATTGGCATACATAACTAATGGCTTACAATTGAAATTACAATTATAACTTAAGTACCGCAATCTGTGCGTAAATTAAATTAAATTAACCAATTTACAGCTAAATTACTCCCCGATTCCCTTAGCAACTCAAAAATCCCTGGAGAAGGCAACTTTTGACTGAGTTTCACGGCTATTCCTATGCAAATAGCGGCCTATTAACTCGATGAGACCTGTGCAGGCAGATTTTGATACCTTGACAGTTGAACGAAAATCGAGCGGAAAAACTGGGGCTAAGTCGAAGGAGTCGTGAAGATGTTTAAAGTCACTCGCTCAAGGCCTAGTAGTCCCCTGTGGCAAAAGCCACAGCAGGAAGCTCTTAGGCAGTGAAAAGCCAAGCGGCAAAGTCCCCCCGAAAGAGTGAGAGGCTGGGCGAAACCCGCAATAAATCATATTTTAATGATGGTTGGTTGGGAATGGGTCCTGCTGCTCGCGCTGAAACAGAATCCAGCGGCGGGACATTATTATGCTTGGGATTTCGGATTGACACAAAGAAAGGCCCCACTTTCGCTTTAAGAGCTACCAGTCCGTGCCCATTTCCATTCCCGCCAGTCAGACTGACAGGAAGTGGGGAATATATCAATTTCGACCGCTGCCAAGCTGCCGCCTGCATTCTTACACAGAAAATAAAATATTCATTTCATTATTCATATTTGATTTTAAAGCTTTAAAAGTGTGACCAATCTTTTCTTGAAGAGTTAGAGTGACCTTACCATAAAATAATAGGTCAAAAATAGGTCTTTCTTTACAAATTAGTTTACTTTTGTCAAAAATAAGCTAATTTTGTACTAATAACCATTTATGAATATTTTTTTCTATGTGCAAAATTTGACAACAGCCGATGACGAAGATAAAACTGCCAAAAACTACCCCGACGGGTGTGATGATGTCCGCTGGACAAGGGTTCAAGTGCAGTCCATTGAACCGCACCCCGGCCCTCTGTTTGCCAAGCTTTCATCGCCGATTGTGAGTCTTCGATTGCAGCTAGTGCTAATTGCAGCAATTACGGACTGAAGGCGAAAGTGCTGTAAGTTGAGCGATGTGCAAACCAAATGCTGGGACAAAGAAAGTGAAAGTCGTGGCTAGAACATCTGTCCCAGAAAGAACTTGCTCCGGAGGGCATTATACCATCGGGAACAGCGATGGGAAACACCCAAAAACATTTTTCCCTGTCCCCGGCTGACAGGGCGTATGCGTAACGAAACGAGAGACACGCGCTGCGCCCCTCAGGACATCATCGATGGGCAAAAGAAAAGTATGAGCACCGTGTAATATGTTTATTGTTTGATATATTGTGTGGCATGCCTGCCAGAACTCGGCCATTGGTCTAATATGCTCTAATAAATTATTAAAGGCAATTGTGCTGCCACGTAAAAGGCAAAACTATTAGATAAAGACGGTAAAGGTTTCCGGAAATGCCAAGGCATTACAATAATTGGTCGTACTCTTCTCTTCCGCTCCCGCACTTCATTTTGATGTCTTAGACGGCAGCTTTGCGCCGACTTTATGGCGGATTTCCCCAGTGTTCTGCTGAGTTGGCTTTGCAGCTAGGACTCTGCGTTTAAAGCCGTCTAATTGGATTCTTCCTTTTTATGGCATCGCATTTCATCGACGCCTCGCACGTGCCACGCCCCCTCGGCCCCCTTCCCCCCACAGAACGAGGAAAGTCCAATAGAAAAACAAAAGCAATTAAAGCGAAACTTTTGCCTCCAAGTTGGTGCAGAAAAATCTGCTGTCACCGCATAATAAAAAGGAAAAGTAGGCAGCAAATGTACTTAAGTAACATTTTCTTCAACTCTCGAACGAACTCTTCTCGTATTGCGCAATTCCCCGGGGGAGAAACGCTCGAAAGGATTGGCCTCTTTTCATAACGAGGTGAAATTGAAAACTGGGGCCAAAATCAATAAGCAATAAACTTGAATAACTCATGCAGTCACCTCCCTTAAGGAGACAATGTGGCGTATACGTAATGCAATTGTCGCCTATCTCGGCATTTTTTCCGAAATAGAGGTTGAGTTTTCCAGGGCGGAATTTAATTTCGTCACAGCGCTCGTGTGTGACGAAAATTCGTCATTTATTTACAGGCAAACGAAGCGAAAGATTTAAATTTGCCAACGAAAGTGAAAGCGAAAATCTCGAATCTCGAGATAAGAGTGAAAGTTGGCCGTGTGTATGGATGTGCTCGGCATACTCAAGTGGTTCGTTCGACTTGAAGAGCGACAAGACAATAAGGAATTCAATTCCAGAGGAGACAGCACAAGTTTGGGGCAACTTGATTAGCTGGCAGCAGCATCATTTATTCCAATCAAAAGATTTTAATAAATTGCCAGTCAGTGGAGCAGGCGAATATACAAATGCTGAATGGAGATTAATCAATTCCCAGTCGGTCCAGGCCTGTCAATACAAATATGCCGGAGGGCCAGGCCAATGTATGCACATAAATCGAAGGGGAAAAAGTTGTAAACATCAACGACGCCCAAAAAAGAAAACACACACATTTTCCCTGCTTTTCTCCAAGATGATATCCTCTTATCGTCTGCTGGTATCACTAGATTCGCTGGGGGTTTTTTCGGCTTTATTTTTTTGCTTTTATTGGATTTACTAAAATATTTATTAAAAGTTTATTAAAATACTTTATAATCCAGATATCATATCATATGCCATATCGTATCGTACTACATTCGCTTGTATATGTATAAGTTGCTTGACATCTTGTATATATATATTTTTATGTATATAGGTGTATATATGTATAATATTGCATACTTTGCGGCGTTTACACACTAGTTTTTTTTAGTTTTTTGCCTTACATTCGAGTCTAATTCAAGGCTAGTTTCGCTCTAGGCTTTCAAATTACGCTAACATCTTGTGGAACTGGAGGTATTCTCGGTGTTGTTTGTGTGTTTTTTGGGGGTGGGTTGCATAGGGGTTCCATACTTTTGGGTCTCATGTAAGCAGCTTAGTCTATCGACAAAACACACACAACAAGTAATTGTTGCAAATTAACCGGATGGCAGAGGTTGAAGAGATTTGTTGGCATGGCAAATAAAGGCAAATGTCCCATGAAAATGACTCTTCTGACAAATGAGTCTCCGGGCAAAAGGTTACTTTTGTAAATGTAACACTCTAACCTGTTGATTCGGGCTATCATAATGAAATTTTGCATAATGCCTGCACAAATAATCAACTTGAAATTGACTGTCTGGATGGGGAATTCTAATCCCGAACATTAATCAAAATCAGCCAGCCGCCAAATCAATTGCAACGCACACAAAGTGCTTGTCACCTTGACTTCTTCATTTTGAGTTATGATGAGTTGGCCAAAAATGGGAGCTACAGCAAGACGGATATGTCGGGGGTGTTTTGGTATATAGTATATCATTTGCTAGCCGGAGAAATTACAGCTAATAAAGTTGCACAATAAATCTGTTGTTGTTTTAGGATGGGACTCTCGCTGGTGACTCACAAAATTTCACTAAATTTACTTTACTTTTCGTTACTTTTTACTGAAGCTTTTCTCCGAGGTATTCGACGCACATAAGTAGGCTATAAAAATGACACAACATTTAGTTTAGTTTACTCTTTAGTTTACTTGCTCTAGACTTGCATTAGCTTTAAATTTAGTTTAGTTTAGGTTTTAGCTTTTATGTTTTAGTTCTTGGGATCTAGTTAATTCTTTGCTATAAATGCGAGATACACACACAACAAGAATTGGGAGGTAGTAAAAAACGCTCTTTATCAAAGGGTCGGTACACAACATTCACTAAGGTGTATTGAACTATCAAAAGTCGGAATAGGCATATGTTTTTTTTTAGGATAGAGAGGTATATGTATGTATATTTTAGTTAATGTTTATATGTTTACACGAGGTATGTAAGTGAGTAAGCGTCGATCCGGGGGGATATATACGATTATATATCTGACCCCGAACGACCTACACGATCGTACTTATGCATGTACTGAGGTATATGTGGTATATTTGTGGTATTGTATGTACTTTCTGTTCGATTCTCGTTCTTGAATTTGCACTCCGTCGCGATAAAGCTACCCAACTTCCCCATTTCCTAACCCTCTTTTCCCTCTCCCTCTCTTTTTCATACGTAACGCGAAAAATTTCAACTAAATGTGATGATTGGGATCCGTGATCGTCTACTACAAAGTCGTTATTGTTATTGTTATCGTTAGTCGATTTGAATTTGACTTGCGCGGGCTTTTAATTAATACTATCTCGATATCGTAGCTAAATATTAGGCAGATTACTGGCTAGACTAACTCCACATGCTGGGAGACCTTTTAGTTTAAGTTTAGTTAAAGCCACATCGATTAATTTTGAGAGTTCTCCTAGCTTACTAGCTGTTTTTCTGGTGTCTATTTCTTTATTTACATCCCTGCTTACGAGCTATGTATAAGTTCCGCGCTATGTGTATAATATTTTTAATTTTTCAGAGTTTTCGGCTCGCAGTCTTTTCGGGCTATAATTATTTTCTTTATTCAAATATTCTCAAGACCCCAATTCGGAGCTCTGGCTAAATGATTATCGAGAGGAATATATATATATATATGGTATAGGCTAAGTTGTCTAGTTAAATATCTCGAGGATTGCTTATCAATTTGCTATAGTAACAGTAAAAATTTCCTATGAGGGCATCTGTTGTTTCTCTATTTTTCTTTTTTGGCCTTTGTTTCGCTTGAGGTTACTATTTTACTATTTTGATGGCTGATCCGGAGGTAGTTTCGGTTTCAGTTTTTAGTTTATCCATTTTTCGCCACACGAGGTAGATGCGGTTACGAACTGATCTAACTGGCAATTTCTCCTATGAATTGTTCTATTTTACCAGGGAAGCTTCTTCTGGCCTGGACAAACACAAAGCACAAAAACACAAGTAACAAAGTAAATAAAGTAAAAGAGGCATAGGATGGATGTCCCTAAGTAGGGAGCAAATATTTAACCACGTACGCACATGTGTCAACCGAGAATAATGCAAATTGGGTTCCGGAGAAGCTGCAGCCAATTACGGAAAAGTCGGGCGATTCATTAATGCAGGGACTACGGAAAAGAGCCGGCAGTGACGCAGAAAGTCCGTCGTCCCAGAGTGGGTAGCTCGTGTAGGCCATAAAACCGGAGTAGTAAACCCAAACCCGGATTCGGATTCGGAGGGGGGCAACTTTTCAGTACATAAGAGACACGTGCCTCGCAAAACAAAAGAGAGGAGAGTCCTGGGGAAAAGAGAAAGCCAGGCCAGAGTGAAAGTGAAAGTCAAAGTGAGAGTGAAAGTTGTGTCGCAGAAAAGAGAAGCGTCAGCTGTGCGCAGCGGAAGGAATAATAAAACAGGCAAAGGGATAGACCGAAATGTGGGTGGTAGGATGGTGGGTTCTCCGAGTTGGAGGTGCAAAATCAATACGAATGGCACGCGCTGCCTCCGGGTCTTATCGGAATGCCCAAAAAAGGAGGCGGAGTCCTTTCGGCCAGGGAAACAAATCCCAATTCAATGGCCCGACTAAAGCAGTGTCAATAGTGCCAGGTCCTGGCATTTTAAATTCGGGCCTAGTTGCGTGTAAATTTGTTTGCCCACCACAGCTTTATATATAGTGTATTATAGTAAATGCCAGCTGGATATTTATGATTTCGGCATTTCGTATTGCCATCGATGTGCGTCAGACACGCCACGTTTTCAGAGACTTCAGAAAGTTAATTAAGCCGCCAGGCGACACAATGAGAAATTTGTTGCGTTATATGTGGGATATAACAACCCCTTTTTCAAGTATGTAGGTCAGTACACGACGAAAAATCAATAGACGCTTTGGGTTTTTAAATATTCAAGAGCCCCGGAATACTAAAAAATTAAAAAATCATCAGCAAATCAATAGGTAAATAAGGAAAACAAACACAGGGTTCGATAATGTTTTTTGGTTTTTCTTTCGTTTTTGGAAAATTGACTTCTCCTTCGATTTAGGTGTATTTTAAACGCTAATAAAAACAAAACAAAGGAACTACAAACTAAATTAAAAACGACAACTAATAAGAAACGAAAGCTCCTGCCAGGTTAAAGCTTCAGTGGCGACCCGAGGTTTGTTCTATATACGCACTAAAATCTATACTAAGTCTAGGTATATATATCTATATTTATTATGTGTGTGTGTGTGTTGTGCGATTGAAAACGCCGACAACACGAGGATTGTTATTTAATTGCTAATAGTTGCTCTATGTATATGTGTTGTATGCTTTTTTTCTCATTTAGTTTTGACTTTTCACTAGAATTAGTGTGCATATTTTGCTAGCTTAAATGTTGCTTCTGCTTCTAACCTTCCTATTTAGGGATTTCCTTTTCTGCTTTTTTTGTACCTTCAGCGCTCGAATTTCAGTTTTCAATTTTGCTACTTTTCGTTCACAAATTTTGACAATTTACATGCTTCTTCCACAACAAAAAGGCCAAAAATGAACTCGAAATCAAACGCGTCCTGTCTTGAATCATATTTATACCATATCATATATCCGTACTCCTGCACTGCTGCTGCTGCTTTTTTTCCTGCTCAGTCAAAGCTTACACATCTAACAAATTGCTCGAATAAGTTAACAGAAATCATAGGGATAATAATAAGGTCTAGAAAAAATAAACCTGATGGATGCCGGTAACTCAAACAACAAAAGCAAATGCTATCACAGTAAAAAACTTAAAGTTGCCGTATTTTTTTGTTTTTTGAATTTATATAGTTTACAATTTTATTGCAATCGTTCTCTGATTCGCATTCCTCATCTCATCTCGATCTACATCTCTAATAAAAACTACGTCCAGAGTGTGTGCGTGCGTCTGCGATCCGCTGTGATGATTCTCTTCTACGGCACGGTGATCACTCGCTATAACTACTCGAATAGTATAGTATATTCCTACCGCTGCTCCTTCTCCTCCTCGACGTATGTACAACAGAATTTTTGCTCAACAGAACAGAAGATTTTTTAACAACTTGCTTAGGTTTTCTTAGGTCGGTAACTTAAAAAGAAATCAACAAATTATGAATCGATTGATGGATCGATCGCTCGCTCGTTCTTCTTCCATCGCATCGTTTCGGTTCGATTAGCACTATTTTAAATAGTCTACAAATTTATAATTTTAAAGTCCACGCTGCAGCCGCAACTGCAGCTCTCTTACACATCTAGACTAGATCTATTTGCTATATTTATAGGTTTTTATGTAAATATATCTAGGTTCTAAAATCTAGGGACTACAAAAACGGACTAAAACTAGGCCCGCCTTCCTCTCGCAGCGGGAGGAGGTTGCTTTGTTGGTTACACGTTTACAGTTTACAATTTAGCTGCTGATGCGGTAGTGGTAGTCGTACTCTCTAGGTCTAGCAATATAAAATCGATCCATTTACAAAGACAAATTGTAGAAATGGGCTTGTCCATTCGCTGCTTAGCCTAACAATCCTTGGTTATCTTTTCTTTTCCTTTAATCATAGCTTCCATTAGCTAATTGAGAGGCGGGTGGAAGGTCGGTCGGTCGGTCGGTCGATTGATCGAGTCTAGACCTTGGCCAGCTGCTTCTTGGGCCGCATGGGCACAATGCAGTAACCGGCACTTACATCGCGTCCGCTGACCAGCAGGTTCTTGAGCACCGAGTTCGACTGCTGTTGCTGCTGCTTCTGCTGCTTACTCTCCGCGGATTGTTGCCATCGCTCGCCGCCCGCTCGCTTGGCTGCTTGGGCTTGTTGCTGGACGGGATCCTTGCCGATCAGCTGCTGCAGGAGCTGCGGCGACTGGACATCCAGGGTGGCGCCGCTCTTCAGTCGCTTCGATTCCACTGGATTTCCTGCTCCTGTCGCGCTGTTTAGGTGTCGCTTGTTTCCATGCTGCTGCTGCTGGGGGATGAGGTTCACCTTGGCCACCCGAGGTTGCGTTGCGGTGGGTGGCTTGGTCTCCACCAGGCGAATGGTGGCCTTGGATCCATTCAACAATTTCAAGGCAGGCTGCTGCAGCTGCTCCTGCTGCTGTTGCATTAACACCTTGTTATTCTGTATGGTTATCAATGGCACTGCATTCAGTATGATATTCTGCTGCTGTTGCTGCAATTGCTGCTGTTGCTGAATCAACTGGATGGTGGTCACCTTGCAGGGAGCCGGCGATGAGGCAGCCGCGGGACTCACGGGAGCCGCCTCCGCCACCTGCATCTGCAGCAGATCCCAGCAATCCAGATTGGTGGCTAAAAAATAAAGTAAAAGCAAAAAAATTAATATAGAAATCAAGTAGCATTTATGCTGTCTAATCCTCGAAATTTATTGAATCGAATGGCCAGCCAAAAATTAATTCCTTTGCCCATGACATTGGTGCTAATTTAAAACAATAATATTTGGCTGGCGCAAACATTTTGCACACTCTATACAATGTATCTATATATTTCTCCGCCTGCCTTTGTCTCTGTATATATATCTATATCATAAGTTTCGTTTTTTCTTTCGCCTGGTGTGTGCGACACATAAATAAGTCGCGATTAGCTAGTGGAAAATTCATAAAGGCCTAAAGGCATCTGTCAATATACCCCGAGATATTCCCAATTTTTTCATTGCCTGTCATATGTCGCCGGCACTTGCAGTCAATACAAGTGACAAGGTTAGGGGCTGGTGCCATCGGTTCCCTCACTTGCCGGGCATCAATCACAGACTTCTCGTGCCGTGACATGTGTCAAAGGTAAGAGAGCAATGTGTGAAAATTACGCAAATCGCTTACAAGCCACTGGAGTGAAGCGGCAGACCCACATCAATTAGCTCTCCCGCAGTTCCCCAAACAAATACCAAAAAAAAAAAAAAAAAAAAAAAAACAACCCAACCCAAAGTGACATCTTCCGCGACACGCAACAAAAATTCTGAAATTTTCTTCATGCTTCCCTCTATTTTTACATGTAGGCGTGTTTGAGTGCGTGTGCGTTGGCAGCATATCATAAAAAATAAAGCAAGTTTCCACGGGTATTTTTAGCCAGGGGGAACTGCCATAAAATTAGGCCTCTCCAAATGCAGGAGGCGAAATTGTGGAATATTTCCAAAGCCAATGGGGAGAGACAAGTCCCAGAGGGCCGTAAATCAATCTATTCAGCTCTATTAAATCTATCAAAAGTCTCTTTCTATTAAAAAACTAAAGTGTCGTAAAATTTCAATCAATTGATCAAATATATTTGTTATTCTTTTTGTGTGTTTTCTGGTTGCTTTGGTTTTTAATTTAATATCTCTCGAATTATCTTTAGAACTATGTGTCTATTCAAATAACAAGTCTATAAAAACAAAGGCATTTTATTTTAATAAATTCCCATCTATTTTTATCGACTACATTTTCGTAAAACTTTTTTATAATCTATAAAACCTAATATTTATCACTTTCTTCATCCTATGTCTTAACTTTATATTGCCTATTTTATAATGATCTCCAAATCCCACTAAATTTCTCTGTCTTTATCTTATCTTTTGACATATTTCCCTATTCTGTTTTCTTAAATACTTACAATCCTTGCTGTAGTCATTCTCAAATGCATCCTCCATGGGATGACATAAACTGCTTGCCATTTGCACATCGTATTTCTCTTTTTTGCACTCGATGCTTAGGCTCAGTAACTGCTGCTGCTGTTGCTGCTGCTGCTGTTGTTGCTGCTGCTGCTGCTGACGTTGCTGCTGCTCCTCCTGCAACTGCAACTCCTGCTGCAGTTGCTGGAAGGTCCTGAACTCGTTGCTATTTTGTTGCTGCTGCTGCTGATGATGTTGCTGCTGCTGCTGAAGTCGCTCGTTGCACTCCTCCGCAACGGTAACACCACTTCCTCCCAGAATCGACAGAGTTCCATTTCCGGATCCGCACAGCAATGCTGCCAGTTCGCTGGAATCGCTGGTAAAGACCGCCGCCTGTTGCTGCTGCTGATGATGTTGCACTGGCGATGGCGACAATGAGGAGACCGTTGAAGCAGGCGATGAGCACAGGGAGTTGGAGAAATGCTGCTGCTGTTGTTGCTGCTGCTGCTGCTGTTGCTGGTAGACAGTATTGCTGTTGGCATACTGCTGATGATGTTGCTGCTGCAACTGTTGCAACTGCTGCTGCATGGCATCAATCTCCTTGGGCACCATGGCCTGCAGATCCTCTGGCGGACACCACATGAGATCCGTCTCCGTTAGCAGGGGCATATCGTCATCGATGGGGATGTAGGGCGCCCGCATGGCAAAGTCCTCGAAGGAGAAGTCATCCTCCTGAGTCAGCGAATTGGGACTGCAAAGCGATGGCAGGCTGCTGTCCTCGGGACTCTGTTGGTATAAAATGGAAATATTGGTTATTAGAAGTAATTAAAAGGGCTTGATCTAAGAAAACCCACCTTTGAGGTAATGCTGGGCGAATGCAGGTGCTGCGAGCAACTTGTGTCGTTCGATTCCTCGCGATAGTTGAACAAGGGATCAATGTTGCTGCTGCTATTGCTGTTGTCGTGGTGCTGGGTATGATGTTGCTGCTGGTGCTGTTGCTGCTGCTGCTGGTTGTGTTGCTGCTGTTGCTGGTTGTGTTGCTGCTGCTGCTGATGACTGTGATTCCTTTCAGCTGCCGTTGGAGTGGGTGTGAGCGGGCTGAGCGGACTGTTGGCATAGCTATTGTTATTGCTGCTGGTATTGCTGGTTGCTGCTGCAGAATTGCTGCCGCTGCTGCTGCTGTTGCTGCTGCTGTTGGGACTCTGGTAGTGCTGGCCACTGGCCGTCGTGGAGCAGGTGGTCGAGTCCAGGGAATTGATGTCCTCGGGCAGCAGGCAGGAGCCCATGAGGCCAACCAACATGTCGCTGAAGGGAGTCATCTCGTCCAGCTGAATGCAATTGGTGGAGGCCAAGTGGTGGGACAAATCATCGGGTTCTTCCTTGAGCACTGAAATCCGAAAGAACAAAATAAATAAATGCAGTTAGTGGCGGTTTCACCTAGTTCACACATCTCAATTCGGTTTTTTGCTCTACTGTTAATTAACTCTACGAACAAAAAAAAAAGAACCCTTGTGCTGCCGAAATTTCAATTATCGCTCGCCGGAGTCGCCCCTAATTGACAGCTCTCAATTGAATCTAATTGAAGGCAACCCGCAAAAGCTCCCCTCGTGAATTAGTCGCTCCAATTGCCGCCACAATCGAAGCAGAGCCATGATTTTTATGGCCATACAACCCATTAATCAGCATTTCGGCCCTATTGACGTACACGGAATGAAAATATGCAAGCAAAGCGCCGCGAAAAACAAGCAATCCTCCAAACAGGAACTTTAGCTATTTTTATGCAATTAAATAACTATCGGGTGCATCGCCCCAGATCAGGTGCAAGGTTGCTTATCAATAGCAAGGGGTCTTGAACCAGGGGCGATCTTACCGCCAGATTGCTGGCTGTGCGTCATCTGATTCAGAAATTCCTAAAGCCGATCCTCAGCCTATCAACCCATACCCATCCCAATTCCAATCCCAATTCCAATCCCATTCCCGTCATGGGGTTTGCTATACTAGATGGCATATGCTAATAAAACTGGTCCCAACCGCCTGTGTGTGTGGTGCCGACTATTAAGTTGCAAAATGGAAATGAAAAACTAACTAAAACAACGGAGAGACCGACCGCAGGCCAAATAGAATTTCAAATGCAAGTCCAAGTGCATTGTTTGCCTTTGGCTCAGCCGCTTTTACTTCTATCAAAAGAGCCATATATAATGCGGATAAATCCCCAACTGCGGCAACTGCCACCGGGCAGCCATATAAGCCAGAATATAGTAAGCAGATTGCCTGGAATGGGTTTGCGGCTCCTCACCAACCCACATTCGGCTTAGCTAATGCATTTTACACGGTGGAAAACCTTTAATATCTAAAGAATTGAATTTCCCATTAATAAGCACCTAATTTATAAGTGATAGTTGACTGCATGGTCACACTGCATTGGCTCTTACCTGCAAAAGTAAAAAGGTCACTCTGAAAATAATTTTTTCACGATATATAACCTATTTTTTCTCCGTGCAGAACATATTCCAATGCCATTTTCAGGGAAGCGACAATAAAGATCAGATTAGCCGTGTGTAAGGGATTTGCACAGCTTGTAGCTGGAGCTGTCCCGTCGGCATCTGCTTGCTCTTGCGGTCGTTGCATTCGACACAAACAAATTAATTAACAATGCACGCCCAAAGGTCTAACCCCCCGCAAGCCGCACACCATTGCATTATGGAACCCCCAACCCCCAAACCCCCCCGAAACCAACCCGGCAGTGTGACTTGTAATTATGGCACTCGAGTGCTACTCAACGTTGGCAAAGCTTTTTGCGGAAAAAACAACAGAAATTATGGCGCATGATAATGCAACACACACATAGAACAGAACAGAAAACACAGGCCCCTACTATTCATCGTCCATTGGGGGTCTATATCTATATCGAAATCGAGGAGTGCATTTTATGAGATGTTTGCAAAGTGCTTCTATATATTACAGCTCATCGAATGTGTTGTTTTTCACCAAAGTGCAAGGCCAGTAATGGCATTTAGCGGCTAACTGGCTAACTGGGCCTACACGCAAGGCTAAAGAGAGGCAGAGAGCAGCTGCAGCTGAGACATGGCCATCACCCAGTGATCCAGTCACCCAGTCATCGAGTCACCCGGTCAGTGGGTAACCCAGTTACACAGGAAAAAATATTGAGAAAGAATTTTTCAATAATTTTTCGATAAGTACTCGGTATTTCTAAGTGTTATTATCTAAAGAACCCAATATTTCCCGCTGTGCAACCGATGAGAGGTCGGTCGTGAGGCACTTGTGAAAGGCATCTCTGCACTTGAGCCACATTCGGTGCACTTGAGGCGCGTGTGTACTATTATATTCGAAAGTTTTCGAGAGAACAGGTTGCCGCACATTAGCACACACATCAAATTCATAACGAAAATTCATGCTGCGAGGAATCTTCAGACTCAGACTCAAACCCAAAAACGCGAGAACAAAACGTCTTCAATTTAAATAAATTTATGTCATCATCTGCAATTGAAAACGATGGCGGTGGCGACTCGTGATGTGACGTAGTTCCAAATCAAAATCGGAATATGTAAACAACGGACACGGGCACTTAAGAAGCCCGCAGAGAGAAATGGGAACAGGGCGTGATGTTCTATATTTTATAGACTATTCAGCTTTTTATGTAAGAGCCCGAAAAACATATTGACAATTTTTTTACACAGCTGCCGCAGCAGATCGGACTTGGACTCATCATCATATCAGCTGTGAACTTGAACCCGGGTGATTAGGAGAGAATCCAATCCATCCATAGACGTCCGTCTGTTATTTTTTTGATTCAGCAGCGTGCAAAGCGTGCTTATCACGCGTGCTAATCACGATAGAAGTGCGTTGTCCATATTCCCCTTCGATCCCTCAATATATTCCATTGCCATTCCCATTCCCATTACCTAGCATAATTGCTCAGCCACTGACTAAAACCAAAAAACCCATAAATGTATCGGCCCAATTGATATTTATGGCCAAGAGTGTGTTCCCCTTGCTATCGTTACAAATATTTGCTTTTGTAGATTGTGAGCGGATAAGAGCATAAGGTAATTACACTGGGACCCCTTTTGTTTTTGTTTGTCAACGGATTGCTTTTGTTTGGCCATCAAGAAGAAGCCGCTTCCCTGATTATCTGTATTTTTTTTTTACTCTATAATGTAACGCCTTGAAAAGCCGAGTATCTGACAACCGATCGAGTGTTACATTTACTGATTAGCCCATAACGAATGGAATATTTGAGGTGTTTGGAAAAATACCAAAACAACATCGGTGACAAGAAAATTACATAAAAAGAAACACATCCCCTTTAGGACAAATTCCATGTGAGATGAAAATAAAGCCGAGGCATTTCCCCTGTTTATTTACGTTCCACGAAGCAACGAAAATAAATATAGACGATGCGGTGGGAAGAAAGTGAAGTATAGTAATGTATCTTTATATATCCGAAAGTCTTCAGGCCCAGCCAAATGTCAACATAGAGAAAACGAAAGCGTTTAGAGGCTGCAGGTCCACTTGAAAAAGTGTCGAAAATACTGGGCTATTCAGAAATCCGGAGATGGGGGATGGGGTGGACGGTCTTGGAGAGGGGGCACATGCGACACATGCTTGATCCGTCCACGAACCTTGGCACACGCGCCAAAAAATACACTCTTTGTAGACTTTTTTGAGGAACCTCCCTCCTCTCCCCCCGATGACAGCCACATCGCTTAGCATATTAATTGGCTCAAGTTAATATTCATATTTCTGTTTTTGTCACCAGGCGGCGGCCGAAAAAAAAGAGCGGAAAAATTCACTCGATGGGCATAGGAAGAAAAAACATTCGAAATACACAAATATTTCCGTACAGCAAGAAAAAGAGTGGGCAAAACAAACGGTGACGTTTTTCTAAATAATTTAATCATATGATGCCTAGTGGAAAATATAAGGAGACCGTTTTTATGATGTTTTTCCATTCAGAAAAAATAATTATTACTTTGTTTATGGGTTCTATGAAAAAATAGACCATAAGATACTTTTTCCATAAATGACAGCCATTATTAAATTAAGGCAACACTTTACCCTTTGTTAATAAATTACTCACTGCTAGTTTAGAATTTTAATTGATCCTATTATATATCACACTCTAGTTGGCAGATATTAGACAGTTGAACAAAAAACTTTTCGCTGTAACACACTGCGTATACACAATAATTGATTACCTTTAGGTAACCCACTTTACAGTCCCATAAATATATTGAACGATTTTATAACTGCGATCTTCACTTAAAAAAAACAAGCCCAGCACCTTCCAACTCTAATCTTTCAATAAACGATCCCCCTGGGTTTTCATGTGCACAACACTGCGTATGCGTAATGCCGGCAAATTGTGACATAAGAGAGCCGGGCAATTGCATCGGCAACCGGCTTGCGGTTAAGTACGGGATGGGAATCTATATACTACGTATATTATATAATATATACACCTCCATATATGTACAGCACCTATATGGCATGCACTTATCAGGCGAGCGAACTGAACATTGTTTACTAATGCACTTTTCGAGTGAAGGGTTGGCGGGGCATTTCGGTCTTTACAAATAAATAGTTTTATTTGCGCAAATTGCGGCCACAGATAAGCGAGCCAAAAGGCAAAACGATCGCCAAACGAATGACTGACCAACTGGCTGACTGAATGAATGCCAGATTGCCAGACTGACTGACTGACTCAACGACTGAACGACTGACTGACCAATCAAATCGCACAATGCGTCAAATCACATCAAATAGCGCGCGTCACCAAGTTCCCCCTGCCTTCTGTTGTTTTTACCTATTTTTGCATAGAATTTATAAACAAGCCAAGCGGATTGCATATGTATAAGTTGAAAAACGTTGACTTTAGCCTTGAACGCAGAGCACTGCACCTGATGCACTTCACATACTATGTTTATACGATAGCAATCACGATTTCTTAAAAGCGCGAAATAGAAATAACCCCTGTTTATACGACAGCCGAGAATTCATGCTTTTATTCACTCTCAGCTGATAGGGATGCCGGACCGGCAAAAATATCTAATTTTTAATACCACTGATTAGAGATATAGCCTATAAAAGGCCTTCAATTTCTAGCGATCTGGCAACGTCGATCATTTTTTACAGAGTTACCATACTGCATATCACCAAATCACGCTTTTGGGCTGAAATCATAGTCAACTTTCGTGTGTTGCCGAATTCACGAAATGGCGTTTATACAAGCACGAATCGGCCGAAAGCGTGAAATGATAGCGTGAATTCGGCATCGTATAAACACAGTAACACAAAAACTACTCCAAAGTGGTTTGCAAATCTTTCCTGTTTTTCTATTATTTTCTACAGTTATCAGCTGATTCCGCTATAGGTACCTTCCCTAACAACCGAATTGAGTTATGTATATAGCTAAAAGGGGTGTAACACTGAAATCTCTATCAATCGAAATGCTTAACTTGCTATCGCTGCAGTTTTATTTTTAAAAGCCTCTTGGCAATATATATAGTTGAATATGAGCACTAGATTATAATGCATTTTGTTGATTAGAAAATAGAGAATTTTGATTTTGAGAGAGATAAAATATTGATTACATTTCATTATTAGATCGAATTAAATAAATACAATTTTTGGATACTACGCGAATTCTTTAGAAATAATTTGATATTTTAAATGATAAAATTTATGTACTTCTTTAGTAGATGCTACGCGAATTCTTGAGAAGTTTTAAGCTTTGCATAAAAAAGATAGAGATTTCAGATACAGCCCCTAGTATTTAAGGATTTAATGATAAAGATTCTTGTACTTACTTGTCAGACCTCGTCCATCGTCAGCGAAGAGCGAACAGAATCCTTTATTCATATCTTGAGCTGTTGGCTGTGGATTCTGCAGTTGACTTGGCTGTGGAATCTGCAACTGCTGATTGCTCGAGGAGATTATGGCTGCCGTGGCGGTGGTTGTGGGCGGCAGATTGGGCTCCACGCTGAGCGTAGGCAAAGTCTTCTTGCAGAGCACTGCTGCTGCTACTGCGGGCGGTGGTGGTGGTGGGGTTGGGGTTGGGGTCAAAGGTGGAGCAGAACTTGGACGGAAGACCGAAGCTGTCACCGACTTGGGACGCTTCTCCTCGTGACGCAATCCGCTGGTATTTCCGCCGCTGAGCAGCTGGGCGGTGATCGTTCGCGGTCCTGGCGAGTGATTTTCCCGCTTGATGAACAACTCCGCCTGGAGGATCTGCTTAAAGGGACTGATCTCGTTGCCCAGTTGCTTTATCTGTTCAATTACTGGTGGTGGGTTGTTTGTAGCAGTAATTTTTCCGATTTCTGGTGCAGCTATTTCCTCGTTGATTTTCTCTGTCTCCTTGATCTCAATTTCCGGAGATTTATCTTCCACCTCAATGGGTATTGGTTTATTTACTGTTTCCTTGGTCTCCTGTAGGATTATTTCCAGATCGGCGTCTACTTTCTCTGGCTCCTTCTCGGTTTCAGCTGGTTGTTGTTCCTTTTGCTCACTTGCCGCCGTTTGTTGAGCGAGTGAGTATATCTCATGTTTATTCTCAAGATTACTGCAAGATGAAGAGGCACAAAGCGCGTTTCGATTGGGTTTAATTGAAATGCATATTTTCGGTAACTTATTCGCGTTGCACTCGTTTGTTACACCACGGCGAGAGAAAAAAGCGTTTCGCGGAATTCGTTTTGAATAAGAAGATATGATCATACATTTTTTATTGTATCTCAAAAAGAGACACAACTGCTTTGGCACTGGGTTAGTAAATACCAATTAACTAGACTTAATTAACTCTACAGGTCCCCTAATGAGCCGAATTGAGCCGGAATTTCCTCACTGAAACTAGCAATTTTCACCTCTTATTCGTTTGAGTATACGGAAAAGAAAACATTATCGTCTTATACAAACGTTAATATCACTTATCAAAGGCATTTTCGTGATAAGAGTGTTCAAAAATTGCCTGCATTCTGATTTTACTGAGACTATAAGATAAAGGTTTTTATTATAAGTTATCGTATTTATCAGCAAACTTGTTCTCTAATTTAAGCTTTATCTTTTGTTGGGATTAAAATAGCGTTATACTTTTTATTTACTAAAAAATACTATAATTTTATCCTCTTTTACAATATTAATGCTATTTTAATATCCGAGATTATTGTATATTGAATCATAAATCCTTTTTAAAATATTTTTATAAAATCAGAAAAATAACTACTTTCTGTGCACCTTTTTTGCAGTTAAAAGTCCGTACTTGGTTTGGTCAAACGTGATCACCGATCATTCCTATTCCGAATTAGCGACTTCTGGGCGGTTTCCTAGATTTCACAATTGCCATTGGAAAATTTTCGCCCGCCGATAAGTCACGTTTCCCCAATGCCAGACCGATTTTCGAGAGACTCACCATTACCTATACCTTATCAATTATCCGAGTGAAATCAAAAAAGCGACTACGACGGCTGGGCATCGTTCATTATGTGTATTTTTTTCACTTCTCAGCTATGATAGATAGCAAAAAATGGAACTAGGTGGGTGTGTCCCAACAACAAAAACAAGGCAAAATGACAAGAACAACAGCGCGGGGAAACAGAAACCCAGATTGATAAGCTTGCTGGCTGGCTGGCTATATAGGGTGTAATCAGTAATCCGATGGAACTGAAAACCCAGACCGAAAAAAATCCGTAGAGAACCCGGCAACACTGCTGATGTGATGTCTCAGGAACTTTTTGTTTTTTTTTTTTCCAGCTCCCTACCGATAAGATATGGTACTACGCGCGATCGGCCGACTCAGTCTGATCTTCAGCACGGCACATCGTCTCGGGCCTACGTTTTTTATGGACGTATAGCTAGTATAGAGTGTAGCCTTATAAAAAAAAACTGTGCATGCATGGAGTGGCTGAGAGTCAAGCGGTGGCCGCGTGAAGCCCCCGTGGGGCCCCCGTGAAACCCCCGTGGAATGCGTGCTACGAGTGATCTGGCGATAAAGGCGCCATCGCACGATAGCTGGAGCTATATTCGTAGTGCCCCGGCCTCGAGTGCTGGACATGATGAGGCGGAATATCACCAGCGACAGCACACCACCACCGCCAAAACAAACAGCCGAGTATTATTTATAATTTCCAGTTGGTAGAAGAAGCGATTTTTGGGGGCTCGTCCCTCTGGTGAAATAGTCGTGAAATACGTCGTTCGAGAAGCAGTTAATATGGGGGCAGCTCTCGACATTCAAGTGAAGGGTCTTCAGTCTTTTGTCTATCAGTTCTCAATAGATCTACGATTTCTTCAGAGGTGACCAGAACAGACCAGACCAGCCCACTTTCTGGGGGCGGAAAAGGGGGCTCAATGTCACACGACTTCTTTGGGGCGTTGCGTAATTCGGGCGTAAATCGATTGATTAGGACGATTGAGAAATCGTACGCAGAATTATAGGTATGCCCCTGGAAAACAACACACCCACCAAGCGTAAAGCCGGAAGGCACTGTGTGGACAACAAAAGATATAGGTATAGATATAGGCACAACTAGTCTACCCTCGCTACACTTAAATAATTGCTTCATCTTCATTGTTGGGCTCGCCAATTGTTCGCCGGGGCCAGTTGCAACCAGTTAGAACCGACTATCGTTAAAGGTGGATCGGTGGATCGCTGGATCGGCCCCTTTTTTCGCAGAGGAGGCTTACATCACATTATTAATTAAAAGCCGGCCAAAAATACGTACAGCTACGGTTGAAATGATAGCACTAACAATGCGCCATTCGATTTTGGAGAGAGGTCATTATAAAATAAAACTAGTTGAAACGTTGCTATTTTTGGCAACTTTTTTGTTGACAGACTAATATATTAGTTAATCTGGAGTGCTGCGAAAAAAACACCTAGCGACTTGAAAACAATGATTGTGGAGTCTAGAAAATAATCAATGATATCTTGTATAACATCTTTGGTAAACGAGAGGGAATGTACTTGAAAGAAAACTTAACCATTAAATATTTAATGGAATCTTTAAACTAATTAGGGGTTCATAGGTGTCTTTCATAAACCCTCAAATTAATCTTTATTACAAAGTCGGTTCTCTAACATATTTATAACTATGCAATGATATATCGCTGTCATTATCGCTTGATTAACTCAATTATTTTTTAAACAAACTATTACTCATGCCATAATTACAGCAAATAAAACAATTTTTTAATTAAATTTATCCATTTTTACACTAATGATACTTAAAAAAAAGATATATAGTTTTATTTCTGAAAAATATTTAGATAAGAAAGCAGTTTTTAAGATCATCTCTCTAAGTATTATTCAAGAAAACCCATTAAGTAAGTGATCTTTAGATTATTTCACAGGGTTAACACCTACTACTCCGGTTTTATTTCTGAAAAATATTTAGATAAGAAAAGCTGTTTCAAAGATCATTTCACTAAGTATTATTCAAGAAACCCATTAAGTAACTGATCTTTAGATTACTTCACAGGGTTAACACCTACTACTCTGGAATTATTGAACTTAGAGTGTGTGCTAATATTACGACCGCTGCTGTTTGTAACAGGCTGCGGCAACAAACACTCCAGGCTGTTTGAAGTGCCGATGAGTTGATGAAATGTTCGAGAACGACTACAGTGACTGATAAGGAAAACAGATAGAAAACTGCACCCGCGATCTTTCCTCTCAACTCTTGAACTGTGCAACTCTAGTTTTTGTTTTTCGAGTGGAATGTGGAACGTGGATCGCCAAATCGGATAGCGAATCTTTACGAGTTCTGATGGATTTTCGAGTGCAAAGTCAGCAGCGCTGCTCGATCGCCTGATGTTTTTGACGCGCCCCTTTTCCCCACGATTTTCGCAAATGCACAAATTAATTACCGAGCGCAACTAAACAAGCTGCCGTTGAGAAAAAAAAAATAAAACAAATAAAGCAAATGGCAGAGTGAACTATTTGACTGGTTTTTAAATCTCTAATTTTTAGAGGAATTTTGAGACGTTCCTGCTCTTGAAATTGTCAAATTTTTCAGAGTTTTGAGTACTTTGAAAATTGAAGAACCAGTTTTTAAGCTGCTGGAGAGTTTCAAGAAAACTCTTATTTGGAAAACCCTTTTTTCGAGCTCTTTGATGCAATAAAGCACATTTTCTTATTGTGTAACAAATTGCGTCGAAGAACGGAAAACAGAGGAAGAGATGCGAGAAATCGGCGACCATAAAAAGAGAGGAACAAAACAAGCGGACGACAACAAACACAAATTGTCTGAAAAGCGAGAGGCTGTAAATTCGAATTCGCTCTCCTTTCCTTTTTTTTTTTTGCTCCTCTTTTATTTTTTTTCCTCTTTCAATTGCAGGGCAATAACGGGTAACCCCCCGGCCCCACCCCCTTTTGCTTCTTCTTCTTCCTGAGCACAGCCCCCCTAAAATAGCAGTAATTGTCTGCGATTGTGTGTGTGCGTGTGCAGTAAATTGAATGAACGAAAAAGACAGTAAAAAAAAAGAGATCAAAAGAGTGCAGAATTGAGAATTGTGTTTTATGTTTACTGAGAGTTGTGTAATCGATTGCAGCAGAAATAGGATATATGAAAGGTACACATCAATTTAATTACACGCACTCTTGGCCATAAAACAGCCTATTAAAATTTAATAAACAAATGCAAATGCTCAGCAAATTTATGTAATGCAAATTTGCAATTGCAATGTGGCGAAAAGCCAGGCGAAGAAAGAGAGCAAAGAGAGAGGAATTCTTCTTTTTTTTGGACAATGCACGCAGAATGCAATTTGTTGCAGTCGACGTCGCAGTTGCAGCGCAGCAGCAGAGTATTTTACAGGTTAGGAACGAGTGTTGTGTAAAACTTAGTCTCTTTTATTTGAATTTACTTTTCGATTTTATTTTCATTCGATCATTTATTAATTTTTACGACCGCTTTTCTCTTTTCCGCGTGTAACAAGCATTTGCACACTTTTCTAATGAGTTTGTGGTTTTTTAAATATTCTTTTTATTTTTTTGATTTCTGTTCTGGACCGTTTCAGATTTTGATAATCGCTCACACACACAAACAGCGGCTGATTAAAATAGCAATTATATGTTTTTTTATAATATGTATATAGGTCCCCCGCTTGTGTGTGTGATTAAGTTTATTTTTGTCAATCTTTTTGTATTTTTGTTTTATTTCTTTTTTTGCAGACTTTTTATACCCGTTACTCGTAGAGTAAAAGGGTATATTGTATTCGTGCAAAAGTATGTAACAGGGAGAAGGAAGCGTTTCCGACCCCATAAAGTATATATATTCTTGATCAGGATCACTAGCCGAGTCGATCTAGCCATGTCCGTCTGTCCGTCTGTCCGTCTGTCCGTCTGTCCGTCTGTCTGTCTGTATGAACGCTGAGATCTCAGAAACTATAAAAGCTAGAAGATTGGCATTTTGCATGCAGATTTTAGGAGTTCCTACGCAGCGCAAGTTTGTTTCAAAATGGTGCCACGCCCCCTCTAACGCCCACAATCGCTTATATACGATTTTAAAAATTTTAATATTTTGGAAAAGTAAAAATGCAGTTTTATTGTGTTTATCAATACCTATCGAAATG